CTCTCTCTCTCTCTCTCCATCTGTCACATGCACATGCAACAGTTTGCAGTCTGAAGACAAGCTGGTATCAGTTTAACCAACTGAATGTGTGTTCACATATGCTTCATGCCAGCATGGGAATCTAGCATTTTTAAACATGATTATATAATACATCATATTTAATGATTTTGAACCTATGTAGATCTGTTGCTGGTTCATGTCATAGGTTATTTATATGTTCTAAACACATTCTTTTTGTGCTGTTCTCACATGAGCTCCTGTCACATGCTGGCAGATTTTCAGGTTTGTGCTTCTCAAACACTGACTGCAACAAACAAGTTCACACAAGAGAAAGGGGGAAACTGCAGCTACACGTGGTTTCTGCCTGAGCTCTCTCGCTCACTTCCTCTCACACACTCCTGCATTTTTTCTCACACACTTTCCCATCACTGTTTGTGTCAATCAGCCTGAATGACTCCCTACCTTCCTTTCATGACCACACACTCTCACACATCCTGTCTCTTTCAGTCATTCTCTTTCTCAGGTTAAAGTCCGTCCTCATACACACACTTTTTTTTTTTTTTGTTGCATCTATTGACATCTACTCATTCACATTACCTCTCTCAACAGCACAGCAGAACATCGTTTACTTTGATGATAAATTATGTCCCCAGTCCTGTAGTGTCAGACATCAACATTTCACACAAGCATGCAAGAAAATCTTTGTCTTACACATCTATGATCAAATAAACTGTAATGTCAAATAAGTTAAACCAGTGATAACTGACTGCTCGAGGGAAATAAGTTGTAGACACTCTGATAGCCTGTCACAATGCAAACATGACAAACCTGTTAGCAAGCAGGTAACTATTAAAACAGCCAGCAATTAAAAGCTCGTCTTGCAAGTTGAGGTTCAAAATGTATTCTCTTTCAGCTCTGTTTTGGTCTCCACCACCTCCTGAGGGAAATATCTGTTTCCTTATCAGCCAAGTATTTCACTAACTTCAACAGCTAGTTGCTAATTCTGTCTATCTGCATGTTGCCCTCCTGCCCAGAACCAAGCATCTGTTTTTTAGAGGCTGTGTGCTAAAAACAGCTGTGTGCTGCAGCTGGAAGAATAGGAAGAAGGTGAGAGTAGTGATTTGATCCAGAACAGTAAAGCTGCAGGGCAGAAATAAGTTTGAAAGATGCTACAAAGCTTTGCACCATTGAGGGAAACCGCTGAATATGATGATCATCACTACGAACAGGAAGGATCCCCTGGAAACATAAAAATACCGAGTGCAACAACTTAAAATAAAGGAATAAAAAGTGTTTTGCATGATTCCTGTTTTGTTTTCCTAATACAGAGGAAAGCAGTTGCACTAGTTTAAGTAGCACCATGTGTCACAGTGGGCCCACTTTAACTGTGGATGAAAGAGCTGCAATTATGACTTAGTTACATGACTGAAGTGTATAATGTCCTTGTAAGATATTCAGTCCAATCAAAGTTACACAAGTTCAGAAATTAGTCATTAAAATACCAGCAAGTATCACGTGATTGTAAATTTCACTTTATGCCATGAAAGCACAGAAATTTCCAGAAATACAACTGAAGAAACAAACTTGTTGGCCTTACTGGAATCTATAGTCTTGAACAAGCAGAAAAATCAAAACAGACATTCAAAAGTTATGTCAAATGGAGGGATCAAGCTTTCCCCACTTCATTTACTCCATGCTGACCTCACCCTGACGACTAAAATAGGCCTACTAAAACTCTTAACATCAACAATTTTAGAATTTTCATGAATCAGAGGTGTTTCCCAAAGGGATATCTAATAGGGCTGTGAGGGCACATTGGACAAAAAAGGAAGGTCGCCACTGTTTTAGCAGCAAGGTTAATGTTACTTTAGAACAACGCCTGTCAAAATCAACCAAAGTTGAAGTCTCTTCTAGAAGCAAACAGCACACGAAAAGCTTTTGCAGCTGACATTTGCAGGGAAAGCCCCATTTTCACTTTCAGAGGCACTTCATTATGTCAAGTGCTGGGTAAATTTCACTGCAAAAAGCCAATGACATTGACAGAGTACAGTTCATCTCCCACAAGCCAAATGTGAGTCTGTATGGAGAGGAAGTCCACTCCCCTCCAGTGTAAACAAACAAACCGTGCAGAGCAGATGAGGGCAAGCAAGACGACTGCACTCAGAAGTGTGAGACGAAGACCGAACAAAAACGAAAAGTTCAATAAGGTGATGACAGGTTAAACCTAGACAAAAATATTTCCAGATGCCAGTTTTTGACACGAAACAGACATAAGTCAACCTCCACGCTGAAGACATGTTCCAACAATTAATGGAAAAGCCAAACATTGGCTAAACAGGCCAGAACTGAAAGGACAAAACATTGCCCTAGAATGAGGTTTTGTCATATCAGATGTTTAGTTAAATGTAATAAGGTTGTTATTGTATTATTTTATTACCACATTGAATGTAATTTGATATCTGTTTTACAATAAAAAGCAGCTGACTGTTTCTAACCATACAGCATATTTGCCCTGCCTTCCTCAACAATTCAACAATTTAATTTACTTTAAATGATTAATTACATTACCATAAGCTGGATCTGTACAAGTTGCCTCAAACAGGCTGAATAAACCAATCAATAATGTTTAACATAATAAGTTAAAAACAACCTAATAATAGTTGTTAAGGTAATTACTGTAAGTTTACTGATGTATAACATCTTCCAGCAGCCCAGCCTCTGATACAAAAACATCAGCAATAACTTACTTTTTGTATTCAACATTTGTAAGCAGCATATACCTTTTTTCCAACACACAACAATGTAGCTATGAGCGGATATGAAGACTTGGTCTAACTATTTATTAATTAACAGTATATGGCAGCAATTATAACTTGTCCAATGAAGACTTTATATATATATATATATAATATTACAACTGTGTTTTACTATGCTCTTATTCATTATCCGTGTCTACCATAGGCTGCATATAAAGGTGATGATGATGGATGAACAATCTGCGACATCCCCCATGCGTTTCCTTAGCTGCAGTTCTAAAGCTTAGTGCGACCGGCCTGGCTGTCGCCATCTTGGCAGCACCTGATTTCTTCTAACTTCTGACTAATCCAAAAATGAGCGATGAAATGGAGAATGAGTTGAAATTCATGCAAAAATCTCTGGTTCATGGACTGTTCTAGGATGTCACTCAGTGCAGCTAGGCCCTTCATCATGCATAACTTCAAGCCTTATTATAATTTAAACAAGTGAATTCTATAAACATTTACCTTCAGTACAGGTTTCACACACGAGGAAGTTAGGTACAGAGACCAAAGCAGTTTTTTTCTTCCAGGACGTTAACATGTTCATTTACGCTGTAAAGTTGGACATTTTAACATAAGTGCCAATGAGGACTGACTCACTTTTGGAGCCAGACTCAAGTGGCCATTCAATGAACTGCAGTTTTAGGCACCTTGTGTTGGCTTCATTGTTGACCCTTGAGGTTGGTTTCTGAACAAGCTTCCACGGATAGGTGCCCAAAGGAGGAGCGTTAGCTGTTGACCAATACAGTAATAAATACATCTGCTTAAAATTACCCCATAGTGTGTTGCAAAACCTTCAGTACTGCAAATATTTGTACACTGCTTAAAAGCACTCAACAAGGAAAATGGAAGCTGAAGAAATTAGCACAAGAGCTTATTTTTCCAGCAGTGTTGACCAAATTAAATGTAAGACCTTTTTAATACCACAAAAAATATAATTGAATATAATTTTTTACTGTCAACAAACAACTCCAAAGACAAAAAAAGACGTAAGAAGGAAAAAAGGAAAGAAAAAACATTTGTCCGCGGGCCCTACAGCAAAGTTGGGGCTCCTTTTACTCATATGACAACGAGCCCACCATCTTTTTAAATAACACATTAATTTAAGTTTTTGTGAGCATGTTACAGCTGGAAAGAGAAAACATATACTTTGTAATTCACATTTAGGACTTTAATAGCTCTTCAGGCTGTTCTGATGAAACTGCTTTTTAAGACTTTTGAAGAACTGCAGATACTGCGACTGTGTTTTATATGTCTGGGAATACTGAGTTCAGTCAGCAAACGCACATGGAATAGATTATATGTGAATGTCGAATATGTACAACATTTATGTTTTGAATTTAAGCTCCGAACTCGTTGATCCCCACAAGGAAACATTAAGTTCAACACAGCAGGGAGCGAGGAGTGACGATAACAACTTCCCCTTTAGAGGAACCTGGGCTCAGAGCCTACAGGTGCATGCCAGGTGGAGGTGGAGCCGTTCCAGTGCTATAAGAACAGCAGCAGAAGCGGCAGCGAGTGATGGCACAGCTTTAAGGTGGGAGGAGTGGCAGCAGGCATGCAGCAAAGAATGAGCAGAGCACTGACGGCTTAAGTAGATTAAGTAGGATGTGAGAGTATGCCATGTGAGTGAAGCACAGTGAACTTGAGTTGGCTGCCGAGCTAGCTAGCAGTCCTTGCTATGATTTTTTAAATAGGACAAAAAAAAATCCAAAAATTAATTTTTTAGGACTTTTCTTTCCTTTTATTTGAGTCAAATGGACATTTAACAGAAACAGCACAAACTAAGTTAATATCCTTGACATATGAAGTGAAAATGTAAATCGTGATAACACTCATAGCGATTTCCGCTCGAGCGCAGCGCTAGCTGATTTAAATTTCTCAAGGGGATTTACCCTTCACTTGACAACTCAGCACAGCACAAAGCAAACCACAGTTAATTTCTGCTGTAGTGTGGCTACTCTAGAGGGCAAAGCGTCCATCTATAAAACCAGTTCAAAAGCTTATAAATCTTCTCAACCAGCCAATTAAACTTCTACCATATGTAGGACAAGGACATTCCAAAATTAAAAAATTCTTCCTAATTAGTCAGATTATTCTAATTTAGGCGCGTTGAGAAGCATATTTACTCTGATTGGGCACCAAAAGGAACTTTTAGTTTTGCTATAAATTCACACAGACAGAGACCTGTTTGTCTCCCACCTCCATCTTCCAGCGGCTGAGCCATTCTTCTCTCTGCCTCCTGCTGATGTAGTACGGATCTCCAGCTTGGAAAGTCACTCTGGGGACTGGCCTCCTCCGCAGCCTCCCAGTTTCACCCTGCACATACACAAAACTTGTTACATACTCATGTGCAATATGAGAATTGTTAGCTTCATTTTTGGTTTGCAGAAAATAAGCAGAAGTGGGGTAGCAACTAGTTTTCTCACCTCTCTGGGGGAGTCGCAGTTTCTGTCGTCTGGCTCGTCTGCGGGAGAAGGAAAGTTACAGGAAATGGCTCATTTGTACAGATTTAACAAGAGGTTTAATGAGGAGGCAAAGTCATGGTTTTCATCACTTTGCCTCAGCATCCATATTTAAAGTCAAACTGCTCTCTGCAATCTGGAAGTCATTTAGCTGTTAACATCTCAGGTAAACTGATGAATTTTCTGAGCGATGTGGATACATAATTTTGATAATTGTGACCATCACTGACCATCAAGAACTAAAGCAGATTTAAAATAATGGAAACTTAGCTCATGAATTCAAAGATACACAAGTACATATGGGCAAAAAAGTAATATTATCTGAAATGATATGACTCTGCAATAAATCTATACCCTTATTCCTCTCTGGTTGCTCTATTTTCCGACGCCCACGCTTCTTGCGAGGGGAGGGTGAGGGCTCCGGCTCCTCAGGCGGAGTTGGGGGGGCGTTTGCACATGGGTCAGAGGTCGCCATCTCCTGGGAAACAGAAAGAGCACAGTCCAGGTCTGAGAAAACTGCTACTCGCCCTTGTGTAGACCCATCAAAGGGCTCCACAGACATAATAATCACAAAGACATCTACAGGATTTATACACACAAGTAAAACAGACACACACAATCACAGTGCTACTGCAATACCTGCACATAGTATCTATTAGTCTACTCTTGTTAGTACAATACAAAGCAGGTACATCTAGCAGAGTGTGTCTGCATAGGATCAGTGTAACAAACACCCTTAGCTCCTATTAACACACACACAAACACACACACACACACCCGGTAGATGAGAAGAGGAGCAGCACTTATGTTATTAACAGTTGTAATGATTAACAAGTACGCGTAGGGGGGAGCTCATGTTAAATGATGTTAACTGATCATAACATTACGTTTATAGATTAATGAAGTGCAAAATGTAAAATAAGCTCACAATTAGTTCTAATGTTTTACGTTTCAATGAAATGAATAAATGCAAAATATCAAGATGACAACATGCAAAGAATCTCCTGCCTCAAATTCAGTGGCTGAACATCATTAATAATATTAAACTTTGTCTAGCTCTGAAAGACCTGCAGGGTTTTCATGTGTGTGTGTGTGTGTGTGTGTGTGTGTGTGTCTGTGTGTGCGTGCTGCTAACAGATTTTATAGATGGGCAGTTAAAAAGTGGAGAGCAGGGGTGATTGTCAAGCTCAAAGGCTACGCTAACGCTAGCCTGCGCTAACAAGCCCGCAAAGGCTGTAATGAGCAGCTGAGGAGGCCTGTAAAAGGCAGAGAACAGAAAAGGTGACTAAAAGGGCCTCGGGACAGACTACGCTACACCAGCACACACTTTTAATGCTGATACTCAGACACAAGGTTTTGATACAAAGGGACATTTTTTGGCAGTTCAAAGCCTTATAGTGCCTCAAATATCCCATCTAAAGGCCAACATGTAATATCTTGCATTAATGCGTGTTGATGCCCTTTTACAAAGTAGCTGCAAAACATTAATTGCATGTATAGGGCCACCTTTTTCCTGCTGCATTAACCGGGTTCTGAAAGTTAATGCAGGATCAAGCACTAAAAGGCAGCAGGGTTTTTATGTGTCTTCATCTAGATGACCATGTGGCACCTTTTTGTTCCTTAGTGGCAATACACAGTCAGATTCAGAACTCAAGCTCTACTAATCCAAAAATGTTTTAAATAAATAAGAGAATCATAATAAGCGTCAACTCTCATTAAAACTAGCTTGACAGAAGCAGCAGATAAGCTAATATTTTGTAACAAACATTAAGGCAGTAACTGAATAAATGAAAATGAAGTGATTGAATGCAAAATGGAAAACAGAAAAAAATAAGCATATTTCTGATTATTGCATTTAATGGACTTCATAAATTGCAGGAAACACAACACATTCAAACTAAATAAATTAAAGCAATCAAGCTAATTCAACCACTTGTCAAGTGGTTGAAATCAGTGTAGAACTGGCTATGTAAAAATCAAGCATGTGTATATTAAAAATATACTTCGTGGACAAGTAATAATAAATTAGCTCACATGAATTTAAAAAATGTGCACAAAACAATCATGGCATAAAATAATTCAGACAAAATTACAATGTTTCTAAAAATAGAAATGTGTGCACCAGTGTCTATCCTGTGCACATGCAGTACCGTCACATGTCCATGACATGAGCACGAGGCCTTTACATTTATCATTTTAACCCCAAAATGAAATTAAAGCTGCATTAAGCAATTAAGACAACACTACATTAGTTCCTACAGCTATCTTTTAAGCAAACAACTGACTACTTACACATTCAGCAGAAACAGAGGAATCTGGACTTGCAGTCATCTTTTTGGTCACATGTTGAATGTAAATTCATGTCAGGCCTGGTTTGGTCCACAGAAAAATATCTGGATGTCTTTGGATTGCTATGTGTTCGACGTTCTTCCGCCTCTCCGTTACTTAGCGCTTAATAGGAAGTGTACAGCCGGCTTGAGTGAGCTGGTTATAGACTTCCTTTTGTGAGAGAAGGTGTGTTGATTAGGTTTCATTTGGGCCGGTGTACCAAAACTACAACCTTAATGTGGCTGCTGACTACTGTGCTGATTCACACTACAGGCAGTCTCTTGTTTCAGAATGACTATCACAGGATATTGCTTAATGCAGCTTTGAAGAGAATTTAGTTCAAAGATAGAGACAGCAATGACCAAACACACACAAACAAGTGCACGGTGCATCGAGTGCATTGTGTTTTTATGCAGAGGCTATTACATATTTCACACAGTACGTCCAACATGTCCACTGGTGGCTCATGCGGTCTTTCATCTCTTCAAACAACTCCTCACTGACCTGCACTTCCTCTTCTCTCAGAATCTAATGTCGCCTTGATCTTGAAGGACAGACAGTGTGGAAAGTACCTGACTTAACTGTGCAGCTGACAGACTCTAACCTGTGTAGCTCTAACGAAGGGAGGTTTTTTTTAGGGGGATGAAACCCAGGGGGAGCAGAGAGCAGGATGTGGCAAACAATAAAACAATAGTACACCAAAAATAACAAAAAAAGCCATTACATCAACCTAATGTAGCAAATAAATACATGCCAGTTGTGTCTTGATGTCTACATGTAGACTTGAAGTAGCTGTGTAAACTTCATCGATAGTTACCAACAGAACACATGAGCTGTGTGCAGATGGCAATAAATGTGTTGTAGCTGTAATCAGTGTGACAGATGGAGATAACACACATGTGCAAAAATGTGTGCACAGTACAGCACTTTTTATTTTAGTTATTATTAATTGTTCCAAGATGTGTACGGATTGCAGAATTGCCCGAGCTGTCGCATCAGTGTCAGTCGGAAAAATACCATCACCGACTGTGGAGGAAGAGTAATGTTAACTTCTTTAACATCTACACAATCAAAACTTTATTACATTTTCATTGTTGCTTCATTTTTAATAGCTAATGCTTGCTGTTACTAGAAATAGCTGCGGTGGCCACACTGGCCACAAGAGCTATTCCTAGCTGCTAGATTAACTGAACAACCAAACCTAACAATTAGGGGAAAAATCCCAGATGTGTTGACTCCTGAAGAATTCGCTCATAGATAACACCAAGTTAAAACTAGTGTAGTCTAAGACAGCAGCCCTGTAATAAATATGAATTAACTGTTATACTTACGCTTGGACAACATTTGCTTTTTAACAACTGAGATGTTTTTCTGAGTACTTCTACTTCTAACACCACTGTACATTTTCCTGATTATACTTTCACTTTAAGAAGGATTTTCCGTGGAGGACTTGTGTACAGCGGTATTAGTATGTTTACTTAAATAAAGGATCTGAGTACTTCTTCCGCTACTACCCATCTCTGTCTAGCACGGTTAACAAACTCTTAATAATTATATGAATTATACATGATATAGTACATGTCGGTTACACAGCCACAGCCTGACTGCTCATCCCCTTTAAGAAATGATGACGTTGACTAGTGGGCTTGTTGTGTGAAGCGAGTCTCTGCTGGTGTGTGAGAGGAGAAGCAGCACGTTGCTGTGGTCGCAGCAAAGTGTTGCCTTAAGGGGCAGTAAAGTTACTTTAGTCAGCAAACTTCCTGAGCCCTTAAGAGTCGGATTTTTGGAGAGAGTTCTAAGTTGGAACTCAAGCTGAAAACGTATTAAGGCTACAACTGGGGATTATTTTCATCATGAGTTAATCTGATAATCATTTTCTCAATTAATGGTTTTGTAAATAAAATGTCAGAACATACTAAGCAGTTTATCATCATTCTGATTACTTTACTGCAGGACAAAGAAATGCATCAAATTCCCACTTGTTTAAAAAGCTGGAACCTTCGAGTATTTGCATAAAAATCCTTGTTTTATTGTGAAAATATCAGGTCAAGCAATCCATTTAGCTAGTAGTTGTTGTATCATTTTGTTTACTCTGTTTGTATCAATGTGTAGAAAAAAGACTTCTTTGCAAAAAGCAATACAATGCAAATTAAAAATTGTGTCACTGCGTAAATATTTATGGACCTGACTGAACTTTTACGATAATTGTAAACACAGATTACGGTAATAATTTAAATCTGCCACTGTTTTGCCTAACCTAAGATTAGACCAGCTACAAAGTCACTTTCATATGTGTGCTTCTCAACACAACAAGAACCGTTAATTAATACAGGAACATAACAGAAGCACTGTTGTTTTCACAGTTAGCTGCAGCATAAAAGCCGTTTCATTTCTGGCCCAAGAAAGTAATTTTTTATCCACAAGCCGCAAGTCATGACACTTATAGTCAAACACTGCAACCATAATTTTTCCACAATCTCTCTGTGACCTTTGTGGTTTGGGCGCAAATCAGAAACACCTAAAGAAACCAGAGTGAGCTACAGATGTGCCAAACGCAAATGGAAAACTCTGGTTATCAAGTCATGCTTAGACTAAGTGAAGACCCAGGCAATTTCAATAATTATAGTTTAGCTTTACCCTGGATTATATCCAGCTATTAGTGTGCATGCAAAGTTTCATCATTTATATCAGTTGACATCACAACTGACTGTGGCTGTGAGGGGATTTTCATGTGAAAGCACAGCTTAAATGTTGGGAAATTATCCAGTATATCTCTGTAGTCCTACTGCAAACTTCTTCTGTAGTAACACACACTCCTGCATAATAACCCAGCAGCTGCTCAACACATGGTAGCAGTGGAGAGAGAGAACTGAGAGAGCAATGAGGGAGGAAATAGGAGGAGGCCGACACCTACCTTAACTTCAAAAAAAAAACAGCAGCTAGAAGAACTAAGAAGCAAAAAGTGTGAAACAGAAAAGGGAAGAAGATGAAGGACCATGAAGCTAATCTAATCGTCCATGAAACCATCATCTTTATTGTATTAATATGTATGTACAGGCAAGAGTGTTTGTGTGTGATTACTTGTGATAGAGGAGAAGGAGAGAGCAAGAAGAAAGTGAGGCTGCCTCCCTCCTTCTCTGCTCCCTATAGTTAGTGTCACTGACAGCTCCACCCTGAAGCTCCACACAATGGCTCTATTCCTGGATACACTCCACTGCATGTGTGTGTGTGTGTGTGACAGGACCCACATTAATCCTGCCCGCCTTGTCAGAGCTCAGACATCAAAGCATGATCAGACCTGCTCTCCTGCACACATGAATGCACACACACATGGATAGCACGCACTCTCTTGCAGCAGTTTGCTCAGTATGCCTTCTGTCTGGGCCTGATTGATCAGCAATACTGACCTGCTGATTCTGCTTCAGAGTTATGTGCAGACACACACACATGGACACAAAGTGAGCAATAAGGGATGAATGGTGAGAGAAATATGGAGAAGAGTTACTGCCAAAGATCTGAAGTCAGTGATAGAAAAGAAATACACCATACTGTGTCATCACAGCAGTAATGAAGCTCTGTGACACCACTCAGAGATTATTCCTGCTGGACTAAAGGTGACTGGAAGGTTGCCAGTTCAAACCCTCAGTCAAACACACAGTGGAGGTAAGTAGCACTGTCACCTTTGGTGAAAGCAGCCAATAAAGTTACAATACTGCAGCTGAACAGGGAACAGTGTGATTTGATATTTTCTCAGAACACATAACATAATACACACAAAGTATGAGTTACCAAACTTATGTTGAATAATTATTTCACTGTCATTAGCTCAGGTGATTGACCAACTTTAATTAACTGAAGATATTAAATTGAATAAACCATGTAGTATCTCAGACAATCGTTATAGACAGACCTGCTTTCCTTTCACATTTTTTCAATTGAAGGCGTCAGTTCTTTATTGGACATAAATACCTATCAGCAGAATTAGTGTTAAAATAAATGTACAGAGAACTGAACTCTCTACTAACCCTTCTCGTGCTGGTTTAATTATTGTATAGAGAAACAACAAGAATGTAACACATTTGAAACAACACACAGCAAGTTTTCATAGTGAAAGGGAATCTCAGGGGGAGTTATAACTCCTAAACAATGCATGAAAGAAGCCTGGTAGCATTTTTGATAATTAAAAACTTGATTCAATGAGGCTATAGATCAATGCAACTCATCATTTTAAGTCCAGAGATATCAAATGAGACAGCTAAGGTCTGTGTTTACATTCAGGTAAAAAGAAAAGACTAGTCCATTCCACTCAATTCTTGTTTAATGTTTTACAGTGTAGAAAAGTCTGTCTGTACTGCCTGTGGATGTATGTGTATCACTGCACACCTACTGTATTATGGCCACTTTGCAGTTTTTATACTTAGCTTATATATATATAAATTAATGTGATATACTCTGTCCTGTGGTCAGAGCGGGTCAGTGTTTTTATCTTTTCCACGCTGGAGGTCTTTGTACCACGACCATATGTTGTTAAAACCACAACCCGCCGCCTGTTTGTGAAGATTGTCGAACACGGCACTTTCAAGGAAGATAGATAGATCATAGTACTACTGTGATTCATTTCTGTTGCATCAAATTTGAAGTTGCAGTTGAGAATTTATAGAACAGGTTAGATAACATCAGTGTCACTGACTCATGATTATAAGACTGCTATCTACTGTCTCAAATCTAAATTATGTGGAAGCTTAAATTTTCCTCTGTCCTGGTGATACAGATGAAGAGACTTATCGAATTTTAAAATTCTCAAGGGGTTTAAAAGGATTTGCATGTATCTGTTTGGCGATGTCCGACAATCAACCAAAGCTCTCACTCAAGTTGGGAAGACAAAACGTAAGCTGGATCAACAAAGTTTGTTTCTTTTTTTTCTGTGGATGACATTTGTCCATGTAGATGGTTAAATAAACGAGGAATTTGTTCATAAGACATAAAAATAAGAATAAAGCTGAGCAAAAACATCATAGTTGGAGGTGTGTGTTTGGGCAAAAACTTTTCCAAAGAGTGTGGTTGTGCTCTATTTTCTAAGGTCCTCCTCCTCCTCAATACATCTTGGTATGTTTCAGTTAATCACTAACTCATGCCCACTTTTGAGCAATCCACTCAGACCTGAAGCCACGTATTCTGTTTCACTTGGAAATTTATCATACGACTGATGCTAAAGATGATCTAACTTTTGTTTCGCCGTGACTTTAAGTGGTATGTGGAAAATGTGGAGGATGGAGCCAATCTGAATAGTGAAAGTGATGAGGACATGAATGTGGAGGAGAGTGTACGCATTTACTGCTACTGCAAGCAGTCAATGCGCAGGGGAAATCCCCATTCTTAGACACACTGTCGGTGAATAAAAATGTCTCTATGAAACACATGAAAGCAGAGGAAAAGCAACCCACACAAGCGACTGTGAGAAGGCAAGTGCTCCATCGCATTATCTGTCAAATACACTCAAATGTGACACTTAATTAATGCAGTAAGTGTGCCTCCAGATTCCTGTGTGTGCTTCTGTATTATGAGCAGGTGTGAATCCATAAAAGTAAAGCGAAGCGAATGGAAACAGTGCACAGGCTCGGGGGAGTAACAGAATACATGGACCGGTGTTACATAATTCGGACAAAAAAAAAAAACGTTACAGAACAAAAATAATTACATTACCAAAACAGTTTTTGTAAGAATGGGGATAAGAATTACAATTTTAAAACACGTTTAAAAAGAGGACCTCCATTAACATCACAGGGAGCTCAGAGGACACCATTTATGTTGTCAGAGGACACACAAACTCTTCATTGTGAGTTAATTTACTTTGTTGCATAATTTCATAACTATTACACACTGAAACATCTATAAAAATACAACTTCACTGTGACGGAGATAGAGTTTGGAACAAGTCAAGAAGACTCCCCAGTGATGAATTAAATGCAGGTTTTGGTAAAACATTAACAGGAACTCAAGTTTAGTTTGTTGCTTCCAGCTGGTTGTAGGAGTCTTTCTTATGAGTTTATTAAATACCTACAGCATCAGACAACAGCAGGATCCATATGAGTGTCTCCAAAGAGAGGGTTGGGTATATTTATGCACGGCATAACAGTGGCAACTTAATTAATGTCTTAGAATTATAAACTATCCCTGACATGGAGACAGAATTGATCAGAATCTAACAGGAAATGACAGGAAATGTGCTTTTCTTCATCTCAGACAGTTGAGAGCTGTCACACACGCAGAGTCACCGTTTATCAGCTGTAGTCTAATCATTTCAAAGCGGACGTCCTCAGGTTGGAGGTCTAAAAGCTGTTTTCTGTCAAAGTCTGATCCATTTACTTGAGTCGAAAATATTTTTCTGTCATGTCAAGTGCTTAATGACTGATACGTTATGGTTTCAAAGTCATAGAGCAGGATATATGGATAGTAGTAACAATACTGTGCGCATGTATGTTTTCAAAATCTCCCTAATCATTAAATCAACTACCAAACTAACAACAAAACTGAAAAACAAAACTGAAAAAAACAAAATAATTATGGCATTACAAGTTGCTGAAGATAGATATAGTATGACTACACATGAATTGTTAACACAAAAAAAAATAAACTACTAAAAAATTGTCAGCAGCACAGCCAGCAGATTATTATTAGCTGATTATTACTAAATATTTATTTGAGTTATTATTGTTTTAGTTATTATTGTAGTGTTGTATTATGGGACTTTGTGGGTGAACTTTTTAAGTACAGAACAGCATTTCTTTTGCTGACCTACTTAAAGTGTTGGTTCACCCAAATTACTAACAATGAACCACTATAAGTATACTATACACCTACCTAAATATAAACAGTTACAAAACTCAGAATCTCCCTCTATGAATGAAAGCTGACAGACCTTCCATGCACATGTGCACACATTACAGGATAAACTAAAATACATCACTGCTGTGTTGGTTTGTTCTTGTTTTCATTTGAATACTGAGGCAACCCAAAGGTAATGCAAGGTAATCAAGTTACATGACCTTGGATGTGACACTTGGATTACCTTACTGACTGCATTATGTCACAGATAATTGGTAATTGTGACAGGATGCATCTTTAAAGTCACCCTCCCAACCCTGACAGTGCATACACGTTTCACCAATTTTTGTTTAGGTAAATAAATGAAATCAGTCGCTTTGCTATAGCTTAAAGCATAAAAAGCCGATGACAGGCTTTAATTACAGTACTCACAGGAAGCAGCTGTTTGCGTTTCCTGCCAGGACGACCCACTCTGCGCTTGTTGCGGGGGCTCGCTGGCGTCCCCTCCTCTGGACTGTCCTGGTCTGCTCCGTCTTCACTCTGGGGAATTACAGAGAGCCCACATCAAACACTGAGGGATGACTGTATGAAGTTATAATTGATGTCAGCAGTGAGACCGCATAAGAGCAGCAACCATTCAAGGCATTATGGTTAAGACGGTCTGAGGTAGTAAGTGGAAAACAAGATAAAATGTATAAAGCATAGCACATGGTTAATAGAAGCATTAATAGCTCGGTTATCTGCCATTTTTGAAGGCCAATTTTCACACTTATTTATGACCTTTCTCTTGAGACGAAAATGGGGAATTGAAGAACAAGCTGCTTAAAACAAACACTTTTAAAACGCAGCCAAGTTTTGATTGAACAAAGGCGTTCTCAAACTATAAATGGGCGAAATATGAAAGAGAAAACCAGTAAATTATATGTTTGCAGACATGAAATCCAGCTGTGTTTAGTAAAGCAGACAGGATGCATGTTGTCCTATGAGATCTGCCTACTATTGATGTAAGCGTGGATACAGAGCACAATGACTCTTGCAAGATCAGTTATTAGAAGTATTTTATAAACCCGTGGAAACCTTGACAACACAATGTCTTTTGCACCGGCTTGTACTGAAGCCTTACACAAAGCTTTTAATGAATGTATTCCAGCAGTTTTAAAAGTGTCCTCTGTTCTGCTCACAGCAGAGACAAAATGGTGTGGTGGCACAGCTGAGTTGTAGACTAGCAGTGGTGTAATTTTACAATGATATACAGAATAAAAATAGCCTTCTGCACCTGTGTCAACGAGACAGTAAGTGTTGTGGATGTTAAAACACACCAGACTGCCCTTTAAGATGGTGAGCTGAAAAAACATTTGTCGACAGCGTTTCCACTAATGTTTAATTTGTTATATTACGCCAAACAATGCTTTTACAACGTCCTTATGTCAAAGTTGTTGGCAGCTCACTGGTGAACAACTGCTTCTTGCCAAGTAATGTACTCAAGTCTGACTTGGGTCATAAATCTGACAACTTTAGATTCAACATCAATCAAGATATCAACTCTTCATTTTGCTGACAAAAGATACGCTCCAAATTAGTCTAACAGCAGCCAATTGCGTGTGTTTTGAAGGGAAAATTTGGAAAATTTTTGATACAGGTAGGGCCACCGCTATAGCTCAACTGGTTGAGCTGGTGACCCACGTACAGGGGCTACAGTTCTCAACGCAGCGGCCATGGATTCAAATCCCACTCATGGCCCTTTGCTGCAATTCCTTTCCTTATTCTTCTCCCCCACTTTCCTGTCTCTCTCTCGACTGGCCCATATAATAAAGGCAAAAAGGCCAAATAAATAACTTTAAGGGAAAAAAAAATTGATACAGGAAATCTTAAAAATGGATGACAACATGCAAAACATTCAGCTGTTAAACTTCAAATAAATGTAACTCTGTGACAGGAATAGAACAATATACACTCAATCCATTTGCTTTTAAGCGTTATAAAGTTTTTTTGGAATAAACAATTCCATTTTTTTCTCTGCTGATGCTATTTCTCATAATATTTCAGGAATGAGTCCTAGCATAGAAATGAATACGACACCACTAGGCGAGGCACTAAAACTGGATGAGGCTGTCTGCCATAAATCAATGTAACTATGAAGAGACCATGCATCATGTGGATTGGTCACATCTGGACGATATTTGATCCTCTTAACACAGTGAGTGTTAACCCTGATACTGATCCAGTGGACTAGATTCCCTTGAAGTCTATGACTTGAAAGTGAGAAATACAAATTATAAATGATTGTTTCTATAAATATACCATTCAAACCACCACCATGTTGAGAAGGTTTCCGAGCTGGTAAGAGTTGAGAATTTTTCAACAGATTCGGTAACATCTGCGTTCACTGACATTGTTACAAAGCTGTTATTCACTCTCTAATTTAGAATTTTCATTTTCATCTCATTCTGGCCTGGTGACGGGGACAAAGAGACCTACTGGTTTTTTAAATTTACCCAATTGTTTATTATCCATAGAGTACAAGGTTTTTCAGTTAAGAGCTGTTACTGATGGATTTAGGTGTTTTATGAGGTGGAAATGTCAAAGGCAGCCAAAGGCTAAAGGGTTTAAGACTTGCAAAACAAAGAATTTGTCACACCTCGGCCTCCATTACAAGCATATATCCACTCACTTAGAATCAGATCAGACTGAGTCCCCAGTACTGTAAATCTGGTGTCTCCAACACAGTCGTAACATTCCAGTATATGCAACCACTTCCCCAATAATCCAAGGTCCAACCAAACTCCGGTCAAGTCCACACTCTACTTTTACATCAGCAAGTTTGACTTGCTAAGAAGTCAGGTAAAGTTTTCATTGGGCAGAAGGGGACACGTGAACGAGTCAAATAAAACAGGTAGCACCTGCTGCATCTTTAGAGAAGCAGTCAAAACTTTATTGCAGCTTCATCACGTAAGAGATTATGCCTGTAACTTTAAGCGTATTTAAATGTAGCCAGGAGGCCAGAGTTTCCTTGCTGGAGTGATTTTCATTACAAGCTTTTTAATTCAAGTCCGAGCACTCTTTGTACGAATTGCTGCCTCAGGCAGATATTAAATAAATGTCACTGATACCAGAAAGAAACATCAGGCTCTTGAATTGCTGAAGTAAAGCAGGCGGCTTTAAATATAGCAGTTAGGCACAAATATGTTTTTAATCAGAGGTTTGCCCAACTTGTTCAAAGCTTGTTTATGATACCAGAGGCAGGTGACCTATTGCAGGATTACAACTAGGTAAGTGTTCACTGCTTTCTCCGTAGGTTGGGGTACGATTTATTTATTTGTCTGTATATTGTCGGGTGTAGTTTGCTGTTGGGTTTGCTTGGATTTCTTTTCTTTACCCCCTAAATAAAAAGGACAATTTTTCGTTTACTTTAGACCAGGGCTGTATGATGTATGATTTTTTTTTTTTTTTTTTAATTCACTATCGTGCATTGTGACAAAATGCCTAATACAGGCAATGTCTCATGTACAACATATCATTTGAAAACAATAAATTCACATGTAAACTAAAAACTTTAGTAAAGTTTGTTAACTTTAACAACATGCTGTGTGCAATCTTTTATCACTCTACATATAAACATTATTTGAGAAATGATCACCCAGACTCCTTCAGACACTAAACCTATGTATCTATTCGATTTGTTCAACATCAAATTAAACTTCCTTTGCTCTATTATGTTATACTGTGTTTTGCTGTTTGTGAGATACATTTTTGAGTAGCCTGCTCTCCTGCTCTCTTTCACTGTGTGTTTGTTGGACCTCAGAAACTGTCAAGCAAGTTCTGTCTGACTTAGTGTAATAATGATGTTCTCTGTCTCCTGAAGGTCTCTGCTGCTACAACCAGTGTGACCTGACGCCTGCTGTCAGGCTTGTTTTTCCATCAATGTCTTTTTTTCTTCCGCTGTCTCTTCTACTGGACCCTGTGTTACGGTGACAGTGGAGTGGTTGCTAAGGTGCAGAAACTGCTTAGCAACTGTCTCCGTCGGTGCCGCCGTGCTGACTAAACATTCTGATGTCACTTCCCTGACGATCAGCATAGCAACCAGCTAGAACGGGTAATGGCTTTGCGCCTGTCTGCCTAGTGTGCGGTCCATATGCCGGTGTCACGACACACAATTACGACAAATACACACATTTAACAATACAAGTGTACTCAACTGTGTGTTGAAAGTGCGACACGAAAAAAAAGAAAAGTACAGTCAAGTCAAATATGAACCAGCAGATCTTGAAAACCTCTCAACCAAATCCCTTCAAGATTGTGTCAACACACACAAACACACACAGTAGCCAATCTGTCCATATATCTTTGGTCTATTTCTGTCTCCCGGCAGGTTATTTTAGGCCGCTGCAGTTGCTAAGCAACCAGACTGCAAACCAGGCAGGCAGAGGAGGATCCCATCGGCAGCAGACAGCTTGTCCTCTTTCTTTCTTCCCCATCCTCACGTCCTACTCTCTGTCTCTCTCCCCTTTTCTCTCCTGTGCTCGTTTCCTACATCTCTGTCCTTGTCTGCCGTCTTTCTGTGGTTCACTTTGAAACTAACACTCTTCCAACCACTGGCTGATAAAGCTGTGAACAGGACATGTAGTAGATTATATTTTACCCACATTTAGAAGGCATATGGTCATAGATTTTAACATGTAAGATGACCTTTTCGTGCAATCATATCATTGACACATTTAACTTAGAAATTCACACTACAACCTTAACTATTGTTGAAATATGGTTAGTGGCTATTTTGGACCATTATTAGTCAATATAGCTACACATTTTGGAGTTTTTGAGATGGAATAAACAACAGAATACCAAATGTTTACTTTTACAGAACCCCTGCAACATCTTCTGACCATCTTTGTAGTTTGCAGTATGCACCATATAAACTTATACTTGGAAGAAGAAGCATTAGGGCCTCATTCAATTAATTCAAAGTGGTCTTACAACATTTTTAACTTCAGCATCTAGCATCAGATTGAAGACGTTTGTTTTGCAACTTTCCAAAACAACCAATCTGATCTGAATGCTGCTCTTTACGCAAGGGCAAACTCACATAGTATGCAAGAACATCAGGCAGGATATGAACCCTGTGCGTCGTTACGCAAATGTATTTGAAGTGTGAAACACTATGAAGGGGAGACTGTTCAGAACTGTGTGATGTTACTGCGTTTACAATTCATTTTACTGAGCGTACTTATTCTAGGACAGAGATCAGGAAGGCAGCTCAAAGGAGGTTTCAGCACACATTCAGAACAGGTGTAACACTTTATCTTAGTTGGACCTGGTGAGACGCAACATAAGAGTGACTTCTTTTCAAGCATATTGTAACCCAAGGCTTTAGGAATGGCATAAAACAACACCGAGCACATGTCCAAGATGTTACGTATTGCTACTATGTCCGAGGCATGTCTTTTGACAATCTTGAAACTGTCTTTGAAGTTTGTAATATATAAATTTAGTAAAAATTAACTGCCAAAGTAGTTCAGAAGAAACATGACCTACATTTTCATAGATCTTCCTTAAGCTGCAATTTGTGAATTAGAGAGAAGGAGTAGTTTTTCAGTTAGTCTGTTTTCAAGCTTTAAAAAATGCTAGAAATCTGTGGCCTCAAAGTTTAAGCTTGTGAAGTGTTAAAAGCCTGAATTGTATATTACTCACTACAGCAGTAAAGCAGAAAACTGTGCATGACACAAGCACATAGACATTTAGGGTTCAAGCCTGAACTTTGGATCTGCTTTACAGCTGACTTTGTATAAACTCAAGACAAATATTAATTCTGCATGTGTTTTTTGGTTTGTTTGTTTGTTTTTCCCTCCATCATGAAATCTTTTTTAAGGACTTTTCAGGTTTACAAAAGGTGAGATACAACTACGTGTTTTGAAGTTACTTCTCCTTTCATAAGCTCAAAGGCTTCCTTACCCTTATCTGAGCCTACCACAATGTCTTTCTATCTTCAGCTTTGGAATAGTAGCTCCTGTCATGTGCAACAGATTATAACTGCCATCAGTCAAACTCCCACATTTCTATTCTGTGTCTATCTGCTCAACATGTCTTCCTCTCTGTCTTCAAACTCTGTGGCTTCCTCTGATTTCTCTCTGGGCTTTTCTTGCCTCTTTGTGAGAGAGTTAAATCTCAGGAAGTTAGAAAGAACAACTCTATAAGGGAAACTTTGTTTTGGCTCATTGCCAGTGTGTGAATGTGGACGTAAGCGAGTGAGACGGGTCTTTATATAGCAGCACTATAGAATGAACTTCAAACTTCTCACAGATTTACGAGGGCCGCCCAGGGCTCTGGGGGCACAAATGAAAGGAGCCATTTTTCACCTGTCTGACTGTACATTAGTGTGTGTGTGTGTGTGTGTGTTTGTCTGTGCGCGCACTCGCTCATTTGTGTAAAAGAGAAAAAAAAACTGTTTGAGACTCGAAACCCTGTATTCGTTTCACCTGCATGTGGTCGACTGAATGTGTGGAATGCAGAAAGGCCTGCAGTGAATGTAAATAAATAACTGTAGGTTTAATTATTACAAGCACATACAGTGTGACTTGCCAGGTTTTCTCTGTGTTTGTTGGCTAAAAAAAGCTCTCAACTACAAGCTAAGAAGCCAAAGTAGTAGTGGTAGTGGTAATGATGTAGCTGTAGTAAAAGTGGTGGTGGCTGTAATAATATCTGTGGCAGCAAAAATAATATTAGTAGTTCTATTTCAATATGTATAATAATAGAAGCAGTGATAAAAGTCACAGCAGCAAGGGAATTGGCAGCAGAGGCAGCTGAATAGTGCAAGTGGTAGGTAGGACACTAAGTGTATTTACTTGAGTATGATTTAAACATAATTTTGAAGTAGTGGAGCTTTACTAAAGTGTTTCTGTTTTATGGATTTGTTTGTTTACAAATGGAAATATTGTAGATTTCATGCAAAAAAAACCAACAACAACAACTTGTGACTATAGTTACGGCACGCACAACAGTTAGTGTAAAATCAATGTACTACCGTCATTTAAATCATTCCACAGCACAATAACTAGTTTTTGATATGAGCATTTAGGGTATAACAATGAGATCCTGCTTAAATGTAAATGTATCAGTAGTTGTAACACTTTATAAGGGACTAGTCATCCAAATATATACTTTTACTTTAGATATCTGCTGTAAAACTTGTCACTTTTCCACTTGAACGACGAAAAGCAGACCGTGTTTAGTCATAATAAATTAGTAATTACTTAATAATATGATACATTTTAAAACTGAAGTGTAAATAACTGATTACATTTGCATTAAAATATTAAAACTATTTTTTTTTTTTAAATAAGATGTTCCAATTAACAATCCTATTTCCTTACTATGAATTATTCAAAAGATTAATTAATTATTGAATTCCCAAATGGATTCATAAAAAATAGATTTCAACTTTAAAATGTTCCTCTCTGTTTTGGATAGATGGTCTTTGTTGTCCAGAGAGGGAAATTTGTTTTCACCGTCTGGATATTTTTAGAAACATACAGTTACACTCAATCCATGCAGCTGATTTATGGTAATAAATACATTATGCACTGCATTTTAACCATTGCCATTTGATTTAATAGCATTTTGTTTACTATGCTTTTTTTCTTTTTAATTTCTATTATAAATATTGTATGTTTCTTGCAACTGCAGTTTTTCTTTGGGTTTCTTTTGTTTGTTTCTTTTTTATGAAACACAATGTGCCATCTTCTTCTTTTATTTGTATTGTTCTGTAACTCTACCTACTCCATACATGTATCTAACACCTCTACTGTAACAATTATATTGCTAGACTTTTATATTTAATTGGCTATTTTGTTCCATTCTTGTTGTGCTAGATTCTTTTAATTAGATTGCTGGTGATACATATTATGGTCATGATTTTAACTTGTGGTGTTATCTACAGACATAGTGACACTTATTCATCTTATTAATTATATTAACAATGGCATCTCCCTCTTACCACATCGTTGGTGGTGTCGTTCTCTGGCGTCTGGGGCGGTTCGGTGGCAGCAGGACTGTTGGACGGCATGGCAGGCAGAGGTTGTTTCAAACCAGGTTTAGAAAGTAAAAAAAACGGAGCAAATCAAAACATGGGAAAGGCCCTCAGAAGCACCAGGTGCAGCTTCATTCAATCTGTCGGCGGTCAGACGATCACTCGCTCACTCAGTCCTCCCCCTCTCCTGAGAAAAGAAAGACAAAACACACACACATCTTAGCATGAGCAGACAGAGCAGTAAGAGTGACATTTGTCAGGTTTGAGTAAGAAATCATTCTCACTATGTGGCTGACTTCAAACCACCTAACCCTTTTTCCTAGTTTCGTACTTCAGTCCACCTTTTGCTCACACTTTCCTGCACACATGTACAGCCCTGAGGTCAAAGCTGTACAACAGGTGTGTGAGTTTCTATGAACTGTACTTGATGGATGGGACTCCTACACATGCAGAGCAGAAAATATTCAATTTCTGAGCTGTAGTAGGTTAACACACGGAAACATTCATGCACACACACACACACACACACATGCAGGTGTCCTCAAAGGAATCTGTTCGAATCAGGGTGGCTTTCAACATGGCTGTCACAGAATGATTGATGTGGCCGGATAAAACTGTCCTATTTTATCAGACAAAATGGCTGCGTTCAGACAGCAGGTAAAAATCAGAATTTTTCCCACAAACACGACAATGATCTCTGTTTTTTCCTGATTTGGCTCACTTTTATTTATGGTCCTATATCTGTTGATGACACTATACCCAAGATTTGGGCAAAGTGAATCCGCAGTTCCTAATAGTTTGGGGCTACTCAGTGTTACTACTACCCTTACAGATTTATATTATAACATTTATGTTGTTGTTTTGGATGGAAGATACCAGAAAAAGAAAGGAAACGAGAAGAAAGAGGGAGATAAGATGCAGCAAAAATCTCTGGCTGGCCACAGCTACCAGGATCCACGACCATGTGTGGCTGTTTTGATTTATGAGTGAAGAAAATGTATAAAAACATTAAGAAATCTGAGGTTAAATTTGTTTTATTTTGTCTGACTAACGGTCCAAACCCCACATGTATTCAGTTTACAGTGATATAGAACAGACTGCTTCACATTTGAGAAGCTGTAACAAGTAAATGTTTTTGGCTTTTCATGCGATAAACAATTAACCTGATTCTAGCATACTGTGTCTCCATCCTGAGCTCATATGGTGGAGTGGAGGGCAGCTGTAACGGAGGTGTTCTGTGGAGAGTCAGCCATGTGTGACCTTGTAAGTACTTGAGCTCATATTGGCTCTCGTTTCATCATCCTCTCATCTCATCATCCTTACAAACATTTTTTGTTAAATGGAAGTTTATCAATGATAAAACTAGAGAGCGGGCACAAAGGAAAAGGGGAACAGGGACATTTCAAAACCAGAGAACAAGTTTTGACAGTAAAATCCTGGGTTTTTATAAACATTTGGTTCGAAATCAGTTCTCAAAGTTTTTTTCCAGCTGCTTCGACAGATTGTAGCCACTTAAGACCATTAAAGAGGCGTCTACCAACAGTTACTGGAAAACACAGTTTAACAGAATAACTGGTCCTTAGCTGTCTATCAGGCACATATGTGTTCACCGTGTAGGTCTTTCACACAAAATATGAAGCAGCTACTCTGTCGCACAGACTGCCACTAAGGTGAGCAGATTTTAAGATAGCAAGCGAAGGAAGCACTATGGCTCAGTCAGATCTATATACACCAGTCCTCTAGAGACGTTAAAACATTGATTGCAATCGGCCGTTTTCCACTGCAGGAACTCGCAGGCCATTTGAGGGCAGCGTGAGCCTTTGAGCGTGTTCCGACCGCAGGAACCGTCCCGGTAGAACCTCTTACAGGGTCGGTTTTTTTTGTGAGAGAAAAAGTATTAGTTATTTCTGAGTGGCCCTGAAAAACTGCTGCATGAGTTTCGACACCGATTGGTTAAACTTACAGAGTCCCCGTCTTTCTGCCTTTTCAGCATCTTCCCTCAAACATCACCATCAACAACAGCCACACAGGTTAACATAATAATATTATATGACCTACGTGCTCATAGAACTTATGTTATGAGCAGTAGCGACTAATTGTCATTGTCTTGGGGCACTTGAAGTTAATGCAGACGCTGTTGGATTCACCGTAATGGAAACAGAAAGGCTGATTGGCCTGATTACGTTCCTGTAAGCGTTTGTGCTACCTCAAGCCTGCCCCGATATCCTGCAGTGGAAAGTCAACTAATCATACTTCTGTTTTTGCTACAGCGTACGATATGACTCATGGACTATACTTAAATACAATACTGCGCTCACTTACGCTACATTGCACCTTCTGGCAAAGCACTTGACAATTTTTGTCTCTCATTCACCCATTCACACAGCAATGGTGAAGAGGCTGGTTCATCGTGTCGCCCAAGGACACATGTGCAAGTGAACAGGAAGGGGAGCTTGATTTATTCCACCACCCATGCAATTAATGGACAACCCACCCTACCACCTGACCCACAGCCCCCCTCACATTTCACCTTGCCTCAACCTGAAACCTACCTGAGCCCAAGTCTAAACCAGCCAAGACAACTACTGAACCCGAAAGGGATTTCCAGTTAGGTCACAATATCTGGCAGTCACAGAATAAGGCGTAACACCTGCTTGCTCATCCGTCACAGCGCTATCTCACATCTTGATCTGATGGTTGACAACCACTCAGACTGATTTGTGCACATGCAGTTCTGACATGAAAAGCTTTCAAGGTGCTGCGCTTTTACTACTGTAAAAAGCCAACAAGGACATATTTGTTCAAATGCTAACTCATTTTTCTAACTGAAGTTTGGAGTGTATTGACTCTTAAAACCTGATAATGCACCATCAAGCAGAAGAATCGTAGCTATGCAGGGCTGGATTAAGCTGCTTGGGGGCCTTGGGGCAAACTGTAGCTATGGGACGCTATTGAGACCGGTTTCTCCCAGTTTCTTTGCATTGTGTAAGTATCCTGTTACCTCCAAGTTCCTATTAGGTACAGAATACACTCTATAGACTACACATGGTGGCTTCAGAAAGACCTAGAAACCCCTATGGTGACATGCTTTACTGCTGTAGGTTTGTTGTGTGTCACTCACTAGATTAAAGTTCAGACTATGCCCTATGAAACATAACATGAGCTAAAACGCTAAATGTTTTAAATCTTGATGATGACAAGATTTCACATGTAACCTTGAGATTTCTGCTCCTGTTACAGCATATGCACAAAATGAATCAACGCAAAACTACTTTTCACACACGGACTCTAAGCTTAATACACTTCATGCACACATTGAGCCACAGATTTTTCTTTGTTTGAGTCCTGTTCTCAGATTTTAGTGGCCACTTGAGTTGTGATTTTGAGCTACATAAATGAGATTAACTGGACTTATTTACTTCTGCAAGAGTGAGTTGGGTGTGAAGTTAGTGTTTCTTTATTTTCGCAGTTTATGAGTGTGATTTTTTTTCACACTGGTGTCAAGATACTGATCACAAACTAAATACAAAAGGGGCCTAAAAGGTAATATGTGTGTGTGTGTGCACGCCTAAAAGAAAACTGGATCTCAGCAGTGATCTGGATTTGAGCACAGTGTGACTGCAGCCAATGTGTCTGGCTTTGCTCACAATGTATTGTACAGTATGTCACTCCTCATGCTGTGGCCTTACATCACCTACTGTAAAGACAACAGGCAGCGGGCCAGGGTTACCAGTGGAAAGACAGGGGTGGAAACTTTGCAGAAATGGGTGTACAGTATCCACCCCACCACTCCCGGGGGCTCCCTGCACGAGCTCCAGGCTGCAGGCCAACTCACTCCTCCAAGTTCAGAGTATTTAGGTCACAGACACACACACACACACATACAAATACACACACATACACACACCTCACGCCCCTATAGCAAGTCAATATACACTGATTTAAATTGTTCCAGTCTTCATGCCAGCAGTGGTTTAAATTAGACCATAGTCAAAGGCCCAAGCAGAAGCCTGCACTAGTGGCAGGAGGAATGGTTGCGCAGAGAAAAAGCTCCAGAGGTAAGTCAAGGTAATGAGAGTTAGGCAGTGACAAGACAGCGAAGGAGGTGATTTGTCTTCACAATAAAAGCATGAAATATAAAACCCTTCAAGGGCATCCTCATCTGTTTCTACTCCAGCTGTCATTTTGAACTACTACAAAAATGAATGTCGTTTTATGATCAATAACTTTCTATTAAAAAATAAAAAAATAAAAAAAGGGGGAGTTTTTTGTTTTTTTAAAGGGACATAGTTTAGCATTACATGATTAGTGTTTTCTGAGGTAAAGAGCACTTATATTTTCATTTTAAAAAATTAGGGCAGATATCATTGTTTCTATTCGAGAGCAAAAAAATAACAAATTTATAAAACTAGGTAACACTATGCTCGAGTTTGTTTTTGGGCCTGAATCATTTGTCAAACTAAAACACAATGAGTCTGACAGTCACAACATCCCCAACACCTCAGTGGTGCAACTCTCACCAAGCAACACCCAGGCTTAAAGGAACTCAACCACATCTATGAAACAGATACTCACTAAACTGATTATTTGATGAGTAGAAACTAAACAGGCAATGATTTAGTAATGTTTAATTATTTGAGTCATTTGAAAGACAATATGCAATAAATGTCAGCCAGTAAAATGTTTATTGTCATTTCTGACAACTGACAGACTGTGGAGAAGTGTGATGGCTGTTTGACACAAATGTCTCACTTGACAGACAACAATATTATTTGCCTAATCAAGAAAAAAAAAATGCTAAAGAAGATAAGTTAGTTGCAGCCCCACAGCCTAATCCAAAAAACAATAAAAAGAATGACATACATAAATAGCAAAGGAAATATTTTTTTAAATAACTAAAACATATATAAAGTAAAAAAGAAATAATTAATAAAAAACTTCAACAACAGCACAAAAAAATAGGTTACACTAACGTTTATTGATCACTTTCAAGACTTTCCTTTCGAATGAATAAAGTTATGTATAATCTTGTCTTTCACAGTATGTATGTGATCACAGCCTCAAGAAAACATCATGAGCAAACTAATCAGTTCACTTCGTCTATAACGTTGGTCCACGACTTTTGTTTTAAAGTCTCTCCCGGCTGTGTCGCAGTTATTTCTGCTGCCTTGACGGACTCCAGCTTTATGACAATTAATATTGGGAGCGACCTCACGCGGCCTTTACCGGACGGCCCTCTCATAACCGGCGTATAATCCCGTCGGGGGTGTGTACGAGGCGGGAAGACGGTGAGAGACACGTGTCTGAGTGTGTAGCGCCGATAAGCTTTACTGGGTCAGGTAAAAAACACACACGGGGGCGCGTTTTAGACCGAATGCACTCGTTAACCCCGGCAGGCGCGCGCCCGCTCTCGCTCGCTCTCCGCGGAGGCGACGGTTCCGCGCGCTGATGTGTCTGTCTGCATCTGGTGGCTGGAGAGGACGGTGCGCTCCGGTTTAACGTTACCTGCTGGTGCCGGGGGGGAGCCTGGCGGGGGGTGTGGGGGGTGGCGGTGGTGTACGCTCCACCGGACAACGTTTAACATGCATTCGTTAAATAACGGTTGTCCGGTTGCCGTGATTTTCCTCCCACCGTACAAAAGAACTCCCCAAGTTCACTCGCTCCGTGTACGCACCGCTCCGTCTTCACGCGCACATCATCCGCTAACGGAACCAGCGGAGCGCGCGAGCGATGACTTTAGGAGATGAGTGTGGCTAACTTAACGGCAGTAACGGGTGCCGGTGTGCGTTCACGAGCCAAAATGTAATGTTTATATTTACCGTGTCGTCCGTCCCTCAGGCACCCGGACCCTGACGGTCGTCGCTCTCTCTCCTCTCGTTCACTCTCGAGCTCTCTCTCTCTCACACTCTCTCTCTCTCTCCCTCCTCGCGCTCTACCGGGTCTTCTCTCTCCGTTGCTGGCTCGCGCACCCCCGCCTCTCTCTCCCTCTCTCTCTCTCTCTCTCTCGCTCTCTCTCTCCGGCCTGCTCGCTCTCTCACGAGCCGCAGAGGCTGCTGCACCGGAGAGAAAGTTTCCGCGGGGTCCTAAAGTCTACAGCGTACGGTCTCGCGCACACGCACGTGCACAAAAAAACGCGCTTACGGGCAACCAAACGGGCACGCGCGAACGCACCGAGAGCAGGTGTAGAAGTAGACAGAGAAGAACGGCGGCTACCTTCAAGAGTCGTCGGTTTTACATCTAAAAATCCGGTTGGGCGTGTTTGACAGCAGGATGTTAAATCTGTATCATTCACAAAAGCAAATAATTTTATTTTTTTAAATGGAGACTTCCTCTGGATGTCATAACTAGCTTACAGGAAATGTATGTTTGGAAATTGTCACATCAAATATTTGTACTTGTGTGAACACTTGTAAAACAGCAGTCAGGAAGTATCAGGACTGAGACTGCAACACAGCCCTGTTTTTTTTTTTTTTTTTTTTTTAATCCTTTTAGGTTTAATTTGGGAAAATTACCATCAAATTAGTCATTAACTCCTTCTGTGGGATTAAATGTGCTGCCAGTTACCTGTGATTTACTTTAAAGGTGAGATAGTTGACAATCTGATTGTAATGTGTTTTCTGTGTCTAAAAAACCAGGAGGTGTAAAGTAAAAGCAGTGAGAATATGAAGACGTGTACTGCTGCTATTCAGTTACAAGTCAGTCAGTATTTTCTTCAGGTTCTACACAGAAACGTAGGAAGCAGTAGTCATCAGGCTAAAATGTTTTGCATAATCTTGCCCCCTCACTGCCCACTGCTTCCAGGTGATTCATTCAAGAGCAGCTGCCTTTCAGTCCATCAGGTTTTTTTTTTAATTTCTTGAGCTGATTCTGCTAACAAAGACGTCTCAGCCACAAGCAAAGCTTAACAAATGCGCTTCTGCTGTCTGTAAGAGTGAACACAAGAGTCCTTATGCACTCCCAGTGTCCGAGGAATTGAAAATGCAGCGGATACCTATTATTTTTTATTCCAGTGTCACCAAAACAATCCTTACAGTTAGTGCGTTGGTAAGGTGGCTAACATGACCGTTAGCTTTGATTGTATCCTAACAAGTCAGAACTTTGTGGAGATCGTAAAGCCGCATTTAAACATGGTAGAAACTGTAATACAGATTTGACACCAATGAACAAGAACCACATGGGTTACGGTGTTGTCATGTCACCTGTTGAGCTTCAGCGAACAACAGCTGTCTGTGCTCACATGTACTGCGTTTAAATCAGGTCAAATTCCAAATGGAGCTGCTCTTATTAACTTGTTTTAGATCTGTTGTCAGACAAACATAAAACAGTGACTTACATGTGGCCCTTTAAGACTACATGTTACCTGCATGTTCTGTTTATATTTTTGCACAGTGTGATTGTTTAGTCACGTATAAATCACCAAATTAACATTTATAAGAAGAATATAAAGATTTAATAAATGCATTATGACAGATTGTAATGTGACTGCACACAGCTACAGTTAGTTTACAGCATATGTCAATTATAATTTCCCATGTGAGGATATGCTTTATATTATGGCAGTTGTGTTGTTTTCACTATAATATCAATATTATCTGGTTATACAGCAGCCATGTTTTATGGGCAAGTATAAGATCATTTATCGTAGTCGGCAAATAGATAATAAACACTTATACATTTGGTGCATAAGTATCTCTAAATTGTATATTTCTGTACCACTCACTGCCAATCATTGTGTGCTTAATCAAAACACTCATCTCCATCACCAGAAAGTGCCAGTGTTTTACCATCCAGTGTCAGCATTTCAAAAATCTTGCTTTCAACAGAATCTGATCATGGCATCACTGGTATGGTATATAAACAAGCCAAGATATTAAGATACTGCAAAAATACTTTCAGAAAGTGATGCATTCTGACTCTGATCTGTTACAGATTCTGTCTTTGTTGCTTTAAAGTTTTACTCCCATGTACAGTTTGTAATAGACATAAAATAGTGGTACAAAGTGAATGAGAAAGGTGTTTTGTGATTTTTTTTTTCATGCAAACTGTGTCTTTTTTCTCCCTGTTATGTTTTTTGGACCAGTATTGGTGATGAAATGTGGAAAAAAGCATTTGCCAAATTGCTTCACACAACCTAAAGTGCTGCTGCTTGTTGCTACTGTTTCATTAACTGCAGGCAGTTGTGTCTGAACTACATGCTGCTAGGTCTGATTTTGTAAGATTGCCAGGGCAACTTTTACAGAAACGTGAACGCATACATGAAGCTGACATGTTTAGATGCCCTCAGGTTAACATGTCTGAAAGAGGTTCAACAGACTTTCACAGCCAGCAATTCTACATAACCATACCTAAAAATGTCTTCATACTAAAGTTGCTCTTGGACACTTTGACAAGCTTCACACAGCTTTTTTGAGATTTGAGAAGGTTTAAGGAAGGTTAAAGAAAGGTTTTTCTTTGTAGTTTTGAACAGAAAAGAGAGCTATGATTTGAGCAAAGTCAGAAAAATAAACAGAACTTGTGCACCACCAAACTTTAGTTGCTTCATAAAGTATTCACTTCTTTCCTACTTCATTGTGTTGTAGATATAATGTAAAATTGATTAAATCATAATTTCTGCCAAAAAAAAAGAGTCTGAGGTCTGAATCCTTTTTGATGAAGTTGTGTATAATAAATAGGAAAAAAATAGAAAGGCTCTAATAACATTGTGCTCCCTGTGCCCATGCAAGTATTGATCTATAAAGTGCTGTGAAACAAGTCAGTAATGCATTCATGAAGTTTGTCCGGCAGACCCAAAAATACAGACGTTACAGTGCTTGATAATTAATATTTAATGAGCTTGATTCAGCAAGTAGTTGAATTCCTTTCCTTGATAAATCCCCTAATTATTTTTTCAAAGTCACTGGTCGTTTTTATCTGTAAATTGATTAATAATTAATTCTAGCTTCAACTATTAGATCCAGTGGACATAATTTTTTATTTATTTTTTTTATTACGGGTTGATTTTCTCTCAGGAGGTTAAACTTAGTTTGACCTCTGAGAAGAAAAAGGTGCACTGATCTTTACTTCACAGGGTCATAACTGTGTGTGACTGGGGGCTTATTTATGGCAGTCAGTGAGGTCACCAACAATGAGCTTTATTCAGTCTATAGCTTACACCCCCACCTTTATACGCGCCCTCACAAACACACATATACCGAGTCATGACCTCAGAAGGAAGCTCATGGGAAAAGTGAGAGCCGCTCATCCATACTAATGAGGACACTAAACCGGGGAGAAAGTTTTAAAAGTCAGAAAATAAAAAAGAAAAATGGAGTAGGGTGGGTTTTATTATCAATCTAATATCTACAACACACATTATAATATAGATTAAACTATCCAAACATTGTTAAACTGTTGGAATTTTTTTTTAAAATGTGAAGTTAGCTCCACTTTGACAATAATAAAATATTGCAGTTAGACACCAGTAATTGTAACATGATGAACATAATACACTAGAGCCAGTTGTCATGAGGAGTACGAGGAGTTTCAATTGCAGGGTGCTAATGGGGGATTTTAATACACTTAACAAAAAAAACTTTTAATCAAACAGCTGCCAACATGTGGCATAACCCCTAAACTATATATATACACACACACAAAGTTACAAAGCACTTTGCAATAAAATGTCAATTAATAAAACTTAGATTAATATAATTAGTATCTGAACTTGCAGATAAAAAAAATTCAAATAAATACAATTACTATTTATTTAAAACAACAACAACAACAACAACAAAAAACTCCCAATAAAGCAATAAAAGAAGAGATTTATAAGATGATACTTTTTTTTAGATGAGTTTTACCTGCTTGAGATCCTCCAGCAATTCGTTCCACAGCTGAGGGGCCCGGACAGCAAAGCACTGTTCACTTTTGGGGATCAGGATTAGGAAGTGTTAGTTTGCCCCTGTTTATAATGGTTTAGCAGATCGCAGATACAGGCAGAAGTTGATCAAGGTTTTTGAACACAACTAAACATAAAATCTTAAAATGCATTGCAACACTCACAGTGTAGGACAGCAGGGACGAGTGCAATGTGGTAGGTTCTATTAGAACATGTTCAAAGCCTGACAGCAGCAGTTTGTATCAGCTACAGTCTCTGGATGTTTCACCAGCTGGTCCAAGAGTGAACAGTAACCAGAGTAGTTCATTACAAGAGTCGAGTCTGAAAGAGACTGAAGCATGGATGACCTTTGTTAAGTCTGCTCAAGAAGAAAGAAATAATCTGGGTCTCCTCACAGGACCGCACTACTTCAGTCACCTGAGTATCAAATCAGAGCCGGAGACAACACCCGAGGATGCAGTTCTCTTTAAGAACAACATAAGATTAAGGTAAAGCACCCATCTAGAAGAGACACTCGTAACGATGTTAGTGCTGGGCGCACAGGCAGTACTTACAATACCCCCTCATCTGAAGTCACTCACTTCCAAGAAATTATTTGGACATCCTGTTTTTTATGTCAGCAAAAAAAATGTCAGCTACATCCATGCTGTCAGACTTTACTGGAACATAAAACTAGATGTCATCTGCATAGCAATGGAATGCAGTGTCATGACTAGGGGTGCTTGAGGTATTTTAAAAGAAAGCTAGAACAAAACAACCCCTCCTGCCAAGAAGAGCTGAAAAAACGTCTCTGAAGAATGACACATCTCTATGCTGAGGAGGAGCGACCTTGTCATCAAGTATAAAGGTGGACAGAGTTCAGAAAAAAATATCTCAGTAATGAAAGGTGTGCTGACTTTTGTTGCATGGAGGTCCTACTGGGGGGCCTGAAGTAAATCTGAACTGTTAGTTTGTAATTTTACACAAGGCAAATACATAATACTCAGTTTAGAAACAATGCAACTACTGTATGGTGGTACAATTTAAAATAATTTGATGTTTAAGTAGTAATGCACAGGGACGCACCCACCTCGGTTTTATGCTGTACTGCTCCACACATTTATTATTTAACAGCTTATATGTGAATGGTAAAACATAGGAAAAGTATATTAAACATAACACCATATGAAAAGTTACTTTTAGCTCAATAACAGCAAAATGCTAATTACATAATAAAATCCTTCAATGACAACACTTACAGAATCTGCATAGAGTACATTTATTTTTGAGTATTTTTTCATCGAGAACTTTTACTTGTCATTTCAAATTTTTCCAACTTCATATTTCTGCAGATACTGAGGAGTATTGATGAAATAAATATTTCTTCCATCGCAGGGTTCTGTGTCCTAAAATTCCTAAATTGGTCAGTTTTTTTTTAAGGCTAGTAGGTTGTCTAAGATTACACTGCATTGTGTTAGGAGGGGTCTCACCAATGACCCAAAATGTTCTCATGTAAATCCTTTAAATCAAAGTCTCTTTTTCAAGTCTGTGCTGCACTTCTCAGATGTCTCTGGTTGATTTTTCAGCTGGTTCCCAGTGGTTTTGTAGTTGCTGCAATATCACAGAATGTATAAAAACTGTATTCCAGATGAGGGAAGTCAAGGAATTTTTACAAATGGATCTCTTTCCAGGAATGCAGCAGTGTGGTTTCAAGCTTGTTTTACAGATTTATTACATTAAAGACGTTTGTTTTGCCAAACTGTAGTGCAAAGCAGACTTGAACAGACCAGAAGGCAATAAAGTGCTGAGGTCATGGCAGGCCTAATTCAGCACTTTGCAATCTTTTGTGTCCTGCGAGATCTAGACCAACAGCCACAGAGACAGATGGAACTCATAGTTTGCTGTTAAATATTATTTATTGCAGATGAAACACAGATCCACACTTGTCACTCACACCGTCAACTCCAGCAGGTTCAGAGCTGAAGGTGTTTACAGCTTCGTGTCAGGACGCGTCTGTCCTGTCAGACTTAATTTCTCTCACTCGCTTGCTTTTACACAAACACACCCAAACATGAGTTCATTCATTTAATAAACCACTCATACAGTCAGTCAACTATTCAGCAGGCTGAGAATGTGATAATCCCGTGGCAAGCAGTCAGTCAAACAATACAGAGGGCGGGTGAAAACTGAACCAAACCGATCCAGAAATGTAAAAAAACAGTAAAGAAAAAAACAAAACCTGAAATGCTACAATGTGTTGAAAACAAACGTATCTCACAGCTGGTAAATTAAACCAAAAAAAAGTAGCTTTGGGTCGTATTGGATTTGCAAACAGACATCAGTCTCACTTTTGGGTTGCTGGGTAACATTCAACATCCTCAGAACTTCAATTCCCACACTGCCCTGCATTATAGAGGAAGCTTGAAAGGCAGAGAGGAAGTATTTTTGGGCAGTCAGTGTTCATTGTTTATTGAAGTAATGGTAGGTTTGGATGAACATCAGACTACTAGTGAATCATACTGTAATCCTTTAAAAGTTTAAATGTAAAATAAACTCAGAGAGACATCAGCTACAACTCCCATGCAGCACTGCCTTAAGAAACAGCCAGCGGGTTCAATTCTAGGTCAGCTTTGGATAAATTCTGCAACAGCAGCTCCGTGTTTGGCTCCAGATTGCAACAATAAAGCGTTTTAAGTTTGCTATAGCTCTGCTTGAAGCATCTAGGTGTCTTTTTCACCACAGCAGTGATCGCTGAAGCTCATGGGTATCCTCATCTTTGGACTTTGGTAGAAATGGCAAAAAAGCATTTAAACAGCTGCAACAAATTAAAATAACACCATAACATCCTTTTGTGACGTTAACCAAGAGTTATCAAAGTTTTTCCTAAAGGACCACTTCACCCAAACCATTAACAAATTTCTTACACAATTAAAACCCTTACAGTAAAACTGATCACTGTGTGCTTCGTGGATGATATAGAATAACATTGTTTTTGTTCCTTCATACGTCAGAGCACGACAAAGCAGATCCTTTTCCCCTCCAGCTTATCCACACGGATGTAAAATTCTGAGGAGGAAGATTCAGTATCTCAAAACCTGGACAAAATAAACCAAACAGTGGTGGTTCCTACACTTTCTGACTTTTAGATAAAGCATTTTAAAACCGTTACACTGATCCTGTCCTAAAAATTTTTCACGAGGTCAGGTAAAAATTGTCATTCTTCGTGGTGTCTAACATTAATGATGGCAACTGCTGAGGCTCCCTGATCAAATCTCCTGCACCAAATGTCAGCAAAAAAAAAAAAAAAAAAAAAGTGGTAGAGGTAAATTTTTCCAACTTTACTACACTTTTGCTAAACTGACCCTGCTGAAGCCACACACACACACACACATGCAGACACAAACACACACACACACATGCAGACACAAACACACACACACACACACACACAGTTAACACCACAGATATCAGATATCTCCTCTTTGACTCTAGACCCACTGCAGTACCGGAACACACAGAGAAGCCTGGATAACCTGAGCTGCTATCATACCAGCACCGACGACACTAATCTCATCCAGGTTTCAGACATGACAATTCCCTAGAAGTGAAGCCAAAATTTCTTTGAAATGGGTGCTGCCATCTTGCACCGGTCACGTTATATGCAATCAGAGTCGGAACAACAGGGTGGAAGATACAGAGCTAAGAGCACAGCCAATCGAAGTGGGGGAGTAGCTGATATGTAGATAGCTAGACAGCACCTATCTCCACAACATTTTGGCTTCAGTTTAGTACGGAGTGTTGAGATGTCATCTATCTTTATGTACAGTCTGTGGTTTCAGACACCAGGACTGGGACCTCCACTCTCCACCCTGTTACCTCAGCCCAGGAGGGCAGCTTGGCTTGATGCAGCAGGAAACGTCCCATTAAAGCTTATTGTCTCAGCAGGGCCTGACGACACTCATATACACAAAAACACTCAAACCGAATGAATAAATGGCGAAAAATCAAATCAAAGCAATAAATACTAAGCACACAGTGCCGAAACTTAAAACTTTACAGCTCGCTTCTCGTCTTCCTGACTTTCTTTTGTTTTATCCTACGCTTTTTTCCCCCTCTCAAATGCGGTTACATACAGTTTCTCCATCCTGATCCTGAAACTTTCTTGCACGTTTATCTTTCACAAAACACATCTTTCCTTCCCTTCGCGGCGTCCCCCCTCACTTACTCGACCCTCTTGCACCTCAAAAACGCAGAGCACACACACATGCTACAGTACAAATCAGTAGGTTTCAGATTCCTCATTTAGCTATGCATGATCAAATCAAAACAAAAGGAAAACCACAGTGACAAGACACACACAGAATCACAGCTATACATCAGTAGGGACCCGGCGGTCATTTGGTGTCCAGCATCGTGATTGGTTGATTGGAGTTCTAATTCCCCATTAGCTAACGATGAATACTAGAAGATATATTCAGTCAGTCTTCTTTGGCCGTGATGAAACACCACTCTGTCTGAGGAGAGAGGAACAGAGCAGTCAGACACCTAATCCAACCAAACACAAACTAATATGGCACAGTGGAGCTAAAATGTTCACTGTTAAGTGGTTTTCAGGTGATTCAACTGTGACTCATTTGACATTGAAGCAATATTGTAAATGTGTATACTGATAAAAACTCACATCAAACTATCAACAACCTTCTCATCTGACTCTAAATATGTTTTAAGTCATCTTTCTTTTTTGTTTTATTGCTTCTCTTTTGCCTTTTTTTAGTATCCTAACTACCCAGCTCTTATGTTATCTGATTAAAGGTAGTTGTTTTGATGTGTATTAGTCTCTAAATATATTTTAACATCCCATATTTTGTCAATTACTTGTAATGTGACTGACTGATTAATAAAAATTGAAAGGTAAGAAGAATATCAGACTATTTTTTTTTTAAATCACGAGTTTTCATTTGTTAAACGCTACGTTGAAATTACGTTTAAAATGACAGATTATGAGAGAATTTATAATTTCAACCAATATGGCAAAACAAAATCTAATCTAATAAAGACAATGATGCTTTCATTTAAAAAAGAAAACAACACAAATGTTTGTGATCCTAATTCAAAAATTATTATTTTAGAAAAACAACTGCAATATATGGGTTTGATTTGCTTTCCTTGATTTATGCTGAAACGTTTAGTTTGCTGCTGAATGTGAACTAAAAATAAAGCACAAGAAGACTGATGGAGAGGAACAAAAAAACAGACCATTTGGATGCCTGCGCAAACAAGTTCAAACACATAAACAAGTTCTTTGAGTCATCAAATCATTCACATTTTTTCCCATAAAACATGAGTGGAGCCTTTTTGTTCTAAAGCTCAGGGTCTGCCTTCGTACAAAGGACATCTGTGATCAGATCAGCTGTGTTTTGTCTTGTAATTGTACAGAGTACTAAAAAAATGTTAAACTAACCAAATAGTCATTTTTTCATGGTATACAAGAGTTTTTATTATTTTCATCACATAATTTTAAAAAAAGAAAAAAAAAGCGGCTCATGTGAGAATACTTACTCTTTTTGTTTGTACTGCCAGCATTTAACCTGCTAAACAGAGACAGAAAGTTTCATGAGCAGTTTGCACAGAACAGTGCAGTGTGAAGCTAAAACAAGTGCTACTGGTTTCTGCCAGAAACTATAATAAGAAGCAGAGCAGTTCTTAGAATAGAAACATAAAACAAGACTGTACTTGGCAGGTGCCACACAAATTGACTAACTCCAGAGAAAAAAAAAAAAAAACTCCAGTGTGGACAATCTAGCACAGTATTGTTGTTCAAACTTTCAGACCTAAGTGTGTTGAATGTGAGGCTGAACCCTGGCCTCCTGTCTGTCTGTCTGTCTGTCTGTTCAGGGGTCGCTGAATTAGTACCGCAGGTGAGTACTGTAATGAGGCCGAGCCCAGACAGCAGACCAGGAAGCAGTTTCACCAGCTCTCCTCTGCAGGCGGTCCTCTCATAAAGAGGAGGGGCTCCATAAAGCACAGCTAATGAGATGGCATGTTAATGAAGCTTACTACAGCGCAGACAAGAGCACCTGTAGAATAAGTGAAGCCTTAAGAGACTACGTATGAGTTTGCACAGACCCAGAAATGCAGGGAAAGCCACTAGTTTGAGCGTATTTAAAATAATGAAAAACAAAAAAACATTTAGCTCCATCCATCCACTATATATACACCCCTTAATCCTCACTAGGGTCAAGGGGGGGCTGGAGTCTATCCCACCCTGGACAGGTCGCCAGTCTATCACAGGGCCACACTTAGAGACAGACAGCCAAGCACACTCACATTCACACCTATGGACAATTTAGAATCACCAATTAACCTCAATATGTTTTTGGACTTGTGGGAGGAAGCTGGAGAACCCAGAGAGAACCCACGCAACCTTCTTGCTGCGAGGCAACGGTGCTAACCACCAACCACATGCAGCCCACATTTAGCTCCATTATTTCCAAATAAAGTTAAGAAACAAAATACTCGGCGCCACACAGAAAAGCAAAGCTTTATCTTTTCTTAAGAATTACTAATAACAGATGCATTCCACCTATCAAAAAAAAAAAAGTATCTGCCATCAGTGCTGTATTGCCGGTGTTTACTCATGAGAAATTCCTCCTAATATTTTCTTTCAGACGTCCACAATCTCCATGGAAACCTGTTTTACTTTGCATTAAACATAGGTTTGCCCACACATAAGAATTTTAAATCTTTGAATAATAATGAAAAGTAAATAAAACGTCAGTAAAAAGTATTCACCCACCTTGGAAATTGTACCATTCTATTACTTGCAACATGGACTCATCGGTCAAAATATTTAAGGTTTTTTTTGTTTTGTTTTTTTAAAACAAGAATTTACAATAAATAATGAAATATTTAAAAAACAGAAAACAGGAGAGATACTGAGCACTTTGAAAACTTTTGCTAAAGTATTTTTTAAAGTCAATAAATAGTGCACACAAACTATTATCAGAATATGATCTAACAGGATGCCAGAACATTTTATAAAAGTGGTTTGTCTGCATGATGAACACTGTTACTTTGGACACTTAAAGTACATTTTCCCTTTACTCAAGTAGAATCTAAGATGTAGGAATTTTACTTATACAGAGCTTTTTTATTCTGTGGTGCAGTGGCTTTTGCTTGAATGAGGGAATGAGTACTTCACACTGTCTTTTTAATAACTTAGTTATAAGACTCCTGTTCCGTTCTATAATCAAAGAAAAAATTTCTCATCAGAGTCAGAAGTTCATACATGTCCTAAAGAGCACAGTAACATAAATTGGTCCAACTTTAACTGTCATCAGATCAAATGTCTGTGTTTCAATTCAGACATGATATCTGATGATTCATGGTTACTAGTATGACACCTAAAATATGATCAGTTTCAGAAAAAGGCTTTTCAAGGAAGCGTTGAATCAACAGTAAGGTTTCAAGATTTTAATAACTGGAGATTTTTCTTTTTCTGTAGATTTTTTAGTGTTGTGTGATAAAAGTTTTAGACACATACTTGCATCTGGCTATGTTAATTCAACAAAGCTAAAAATCTATGTCAAGCAATCCATGTAACATTTAAGCTTTATAACAATCCGGTTAAAGTGAAGTTTTGTTTGTGGAGTGGGAGTGGACTGAGTAAGCTAACGGGATACTTAGGAGATTAATTTACCTCTGTCCTTCCCATTCAGCAATCTCTCCTCCTCCTCCCGACCGTCATCTAGTCAGAAAGAAGTGTCATGTGTCACCTTATGAATGTAGTCGAACAAAATCCTCACTAAACTTTTCTAAAAATGTATGATTAGGTGTTGAAACTATTCAAAACTACATTTCTTATATTTCTTTCAATTGTACATCAAAAACTAAAATACAGCATTTTGTTCCTGTCAATATGTAAAAAGATAGCTGTTTTGAAGCTACTAAGGAGCTCAAAAAACACCCAAGTGTGTGTGAGTGTGTGTTTGTATGCACCAGAGTGGAGCTCTTTGACCAGCGAGGACACAGTGTTGGTGATGGAGTCAGCTGCCACCAGAAGGTCATTCCTCAGGTTTCTTCTTGGGCCTGGAGTGGAGAAGACAAGTATATATTATTCAACATTTCAAATCACAGTATGAAGTTCATTTTTAAACTCATGACAACAGTTTTGTGGTAATTAACAATATACAATTTTACACTCACTGTCTCACTGTGACACCAGCTACAACAAAATCACAAAATAACTGAACAACCAAGTGTGCATGTGACAGATGTGAATTAAAAAAAAAAAAAAAAAGTTACATAAATGAAGAATCAAGAACTCGCCTGCCATCCTTTTGTAAAACAGTTTTTCTCCAGAGCAGAGCAGAATTCATTAAAAACTATAAAGCTTAAAAGCTGAACAGCTGTTGTGAAACTTGTTTTTGATCATCTTTGAAGCACTTTAAAGCCAAATTGTGACTTGTGATTTTGATTTGAATCAATAAAACCTATTTAACCTTATATTTCCCACCATTGTTCTGCTCATGTGGTGAATCTGAGTTTTTTTTTTTAAACATCACCGCTGACAAACTGTTTCTTGAGCTATTGGTTCTTGTAAAGCGGTTTATATTAGAATATGAAGGTTTTCCAGTGTGCTGTTAACTCTTCATAAAGTGAAATTAATCTGAAACACTGACTGGAAACTACTGTATGTTTGTGTGTGTGTAGTTGAGCAGAAATTCAACAAATACATGTGGAGAACACAGCTGGAACTACGGCACAACAGCTGTTCTACATATGAGCATTAAAACGGGCAAGATCTCTGTCTGAAAACATTTACATGTGAGAGAAACAAAGTTATGTGAACTCCCGATGTCACACACATTTTCATATGAATGAAAGTTGAATGAAAGTGTTAACAGTGAAATTGTTGAGCGGATCATAAATGCAGTGGAACCACATGCAAAGCTTTTAAGACCAGGACCAAATCCAACAATAAGGATCTTTTTAAATTGTCTTAAACAGATGAAAAGGCTGTTTTTGGTTGATGGGACCTGGAAATCCATCAGCATAACTATTTACTCTCTACTTTGACACAGATGTCTAACTACAGACAAGGAAACAGAAATGTATTCATAAATGATGTACTTTTATCCTGCTACTGCACATACCTTGAGCAAAAGCCTCTTGTACATCACCACCGACCCCGGCGAGGGAGTCTTGAGGAGGATACATGTGAGCCTGAGGAGATACAGCACCTACAGAGCGGACGGTTGAAGGGCTCGGCCGAGAGGGAGAGGCATGAGAAGAGCCAGCCGCCTGCGCCTAAGAGATGAATATTTCAGAGTTGTTAGAAACTGCTGCCAACACTTTTATTACCTACAAACTCTTGTTATATTTCTATTTGTATTAGAACTGACAGCTGACATTCTGCTGAAAACCCATTATTACTCCAAGTATACAGGTTGCAATTAGAGAAGCAAAGCACTCCTCCTCAGTGCTTTGAGCAATTACGGATTAATCCCACATTTACGCCACTGTGTGTCCATCAAAAGGGGCATAAACTTACTGCCTGTCGCTGCTCCTCATCCTACAGGGCCACAACATGGGCAGCAGGAAACAAACAGGGAGGAAAAGGACGGAAAAGAGAAGGTCAGATACAGTCAGAGCTGGAAAAGGTGGAATTATAAAGGAGGAAACAGCCGAGAGGAAAGCAAGGCTTGTTATTGTAAGGACAGAAACAGGGAGATGTGAGGAAAAAGGGAAACTTTGCCCTCTAGTGTGTGACAGTACAGCATGCTGAAGACTTTATTCAGAGTGTGTGTGTGTGTGTGTGTCACCTTGAGCAGCTTCATCAGTCCTTCGAGCTGCACCATCAGCTCCCTCCTGCTCTCTTGCAGAGACGACATCCTCTGCTCCAGTTCATCTTTCCTCTGCCTGCCAACACACACCAAGCAGGACTCCATTACTGTCACATTACAGAGTGTCAGGAGGCAGGGGTAAAATAACCCCAGCACAAAGGCTGCCTGCTGCAATACAACCACCAGAAATGCAACTGGGCAACAAGGAAAACACAAGAGCTCGGAAATCGGATTTCCACTCATCGCATCATCAATCTTCAGAGTCAGTTTAATACACAATAAGTCACACTTAACCACATCTGTATGACAAGTTTTGTTCCATCTACTTCAGTTGATAACATGTGTGATGAGGTTAATGACTGGATGTTACACTTGCACAGGATCAACCCTGAAAGACACTAAGGAGAACCCCAGGTGAGTGCCTTGCCAGAAGAAAATTAAACCGTTAGGTGAAGACATGGATTACTGGAGAACATCCGTCAGAAATCTAAGGCGTTTTCTTGAGAGCGTTTTTTTTCCTGTGCTGGGTGGTTAGAGAAAAGAGTCAGAGAGAGCACCAGTCTGGGGAAGCCACTAGAGCACTGAAACCCATTAAGACTGATGTACACAGAACGGTAGACGTCTTGTGTTTCCACTCAATACTGATAAAATGCACTGTCCCAGCAAGCCTATTTCAAGGAAACAATGACAATTTAACAGTCAGCCTTTTTAAATAGATAAACATACAGAGGTGTTTACAATTTTTTTTCCCAAACAGCATGTGGTCTGGATGGGACATTAAAGCAGGAGCACAACTCTTCTCTTTCTTTCCTGGCTGCTCTTCACACGGTACAATAAATGAGTAAATAAACAACTAAAACAAGACGCTGACTCATACAGTAAATAGACTTTTGTGTTATTATAATCCTTGAGCAAAGCTTCAACAGCAGGATTTCCGTAAAGTTCCAAATAACCACTTTATCTGTATTATTTAAGACATATTATGAAAGGGTTTTCTTCGTAACAGTATCTGGGTCTGAATCTGTACTAGGAAAAAAAACTCTCATGACTTGAAAGAGGTCATGCCAGGGAGAAATTTCTCTGGTAATGACTGTAACTCACACACTGGGTGAACTGAGGAATTACTGTATTTGCTGTTGAGACATGAAAAAGGAGGGGAGAGTTGGTGGTTTCACAGCAAAGGCTGTCAACACCAAGAACGAACAACTATAATAATATAGATGCCAAGCACACGCTGTGGACTCCAGTTGTGGAGGAGCCCCAAAACAAATGAGTCTTGTCTTGCCCAAGGACACTTTGGCAAGTTGAGGGGCTGGGGATTGAACCTCCGCTCTGTCACCTGAGCCACAGCCGCCCAGCAAAGATATTCATCCACCCAGCCATCCATTATCTATACACTGCTTAATCCTCACTGGGGTTGTGGGGGGGCTGGAGCCTATCCCAGCTGAATTAGGGTGAAGACAGGGGACACCCTGGACAGGTCACCAGTCTATCACAGGGCTACACTTCGAGACGGACAACCAAGCACACTCACATTCACACCTACAGACAATTTAGAATCGCTGATTAACCTCAGTATGTCCTTGAACTGTGGGAGGAAGCCGGAGAAACCAGAGAGAACTCACGCTGCACGGGGAGAACATGCAAACTCCACATAGAAAGATCCCAGGCCAGGATTCAAACCCAGGATTTTTGGCGACAGTGCTAACCACTGCATCAAGTCACAAATATAATCTGGCTAAATATACATTTCTCTTTAAAATGTAACTTAAAATACAACTTAGCTGTACAGTGTTTTTAAACAGGAAAAACAAAAAGGTAACGTAGTAGGGTGTGGGTTCACATAATCCACGCCAAGAGGAGTTTGGATAATCTAACGCAATGATGCTGTAAAACTGAGACTTGGCATCTTTTGGAGACTATTTTGATTTCTATTTTTGTATGACTTAACTTCAGTTTGACAGTATCCGGTCGACTGTCACAGAGGATATCAGTGTGGACCAAATAAACTTCTGAGACCCTGTCTAAAGACCATTTGTGTATGTCTCAGGTAAAATGACATTATCATATATGTAAACTTCACCCTAGTATTATTTTTATATCGTCATTTACTAAATTGCTGACCACAATGGCAAGTGATTACATGAGACCACCTATTCTATGCAAACAATTATCTTTTATAAAAGAGGTAGTGAGAATGACAAGGAGAGAGATGATGAGATAACTAAGTAGATCTACACTTTAAAGCTGGTGGAAAATATGTTGAGAAACCATTGAACTAATCTGCCCTCCACTGTGGAACTAATGCTTCATATTCCTGAGAGCTGTGGTTCATACATTAGTTAGAAATTCTGTTTTCTTTTTAAAAGAGAAGGAGGTAAATCAAGTCTTTTATAAATGATGTATCTACTATTTCTGACCAGGATATATTTTGATTGGCTGTAAGCATTTTCCGCAATTCATCAAATCTCTCCAAAAGGTAGTCCTAATAATATCACACTGTCAGTGTTGTTACAGTTGTGGTGACAACAACTAAAGTTTTTTTTTTTTTAACGATTTTATAGTTGTTGTGCTTGGTGTGGACAACCCTTTAATCTAAATGAGCATTTGCCTAATTAACTCCAAAGTGCAGTTACCTTGAATCTGGCATCTTAGCTAATTAGCTCATTAAAAATAGACCCTGTGTCACAGAATGCCAGTGACAAAGTGCCTAAGTCTATGGATGAGCAGTATGATAAACTATTGATATTTATCATTCACAAAAACTAAAACGTATACTACAGCTGAATGTGAAAATGTTTGACTTAGTGCCCCCAAGTGGTTGTATCGCAGCAGACAGCCACAGCCATGAGTACCGCTGCAGTTTTCAGCAGGATTTTTAATCAAAAACATAAACAATCTTGTCACACTAAAAATAACTAACATAATAATTTAACATGCGCTCTGTTTAACACATCCATATCCCCAGATCTTGAAAATTAGAACTGTTAAAGCCTTTTGGTACGACAGTGCACACAGTGGATAAACTGGTGGCCACCATCTCACAAGCAGAATTGCTATTGCTTTATATCGATACCACACCAATGCCATCACTTTCAAGTCTGCCTCCTTTTCTTTGGAGTTTTGTTTTTACTGAAAAGCATAAACATGTTGGAAGTGATTTCTACATTGGCTTTTTAACAAAATCCACCATCTGTCAATACCATCTGCCATAAAGAACTCTCCCTCTGTGCTGCAAACCAACACAGCAAATTTCTCGCCAATTCAGACCAACGCTGTGGCGCAAAATGCAGAAATCACAGCGCAGGGACTAAGAAAACTAAGGCTGTTGTTGAAACATCTTTTTTGGGCAAAACTCACAAAGTTCAAGATTAAACAAAAAAACTAATTATAGTTAGAGTTCATGTACGAACAGCAGGTTTCAGGGGAACTCCTGGGCAGCCCGGCCTCTGGTGGAGTCTGTTTACCTGAGCAGGCGAAGCTCGGCCAGCAGAGTTGGGTTGGTGGTGCCTTTCTCTGGGCTCGGCTGGCACGCTGCGTCATGCTCCGCACGGAGACGCTTGATCTCTGCCAAGATCTCTCTGGGAAATGAAAAACATTCTGGTCAGATAAGGCTGGAGCAGCGTTATGTTAAGAGTGAACAGACTGTAAAAAGACAAGACAAGGCAAGAACGCACACTCCTGTAGACTTTTGTAAAATGTTTAGATGTATATACAGGTTTGAATTGGGTAAATATAAAGACTATGACTGACTCGAGCATTCAAACGTGTCTGTTTGAAGGTAGTGCGTATCACTACCTTCACACCCTTCACAAAGGCAAGTAGCACTATCAACAGTACATTTTTGAATGTTTAAGTCGGTTTTCTTCTTTCCTTTCAGCGAAAAGAAAGAAAACATGGCAACTGTGCTAAACCAGGCAGCAGCTGACACTTGAGGAAATCAAATTTAATGCTTTATTAGACCGCTTTAAGGAAAAGTTAGAACAATTTCCTGAGCAAAAACAAAAATGAACACTAGGGCTTGGGAACACATTTTCTATCAATAATGATATGAATAAGATTATTTTTTCCAAATACTGATTTGTAATCATATATAATAAGTAAATGCGGGTTTATTTTAAGTACAGTGTGCTTAAAATCCTTAATTAGGCCAACATAAATGTGCAAAACTGTAAAGCAACAGCGTTACATCCACACAGCTGGGTGTAATTTCTCAAAGGCGTATTATTTACCTTGAAATTTAAGACCATCCATCATTATAAATATGAGTTTATAAGGACTTAAATATATTTCTTAAGGGAGCTGCAAAATTGGTGACATGTTGAGCCTCAAAAATAAGACATTCATTATTTAGGCTCAATTTAAAACTGTGTAGTTCACTGCTAGTCAACAAACCATGATTTATAATTGTCTGAGAGAACATTCCCAGAAACCAAGGTTAACGTTCCAACAGTCTTCGAACTAATAATGTGGAACTTTGTTTCATTAAAAAAAGCTAAAAAAGCTAAAAGAAGGTAGGATATTTCAGAAAATTTATGTTTTTTCTCATTTTAAAAAACTAGCTGAAAGTAAAGTCTTTCCTTTAACCAGTTGTGTCAAAACAAAAATTGCCACTGAGCAGTCATAACAGCTATGACTCAGCTACTGCAAGATGATCAAACAATCAACTTTTACTTTCTCCTCTATGATTTATGGCATTACAACTGGGTTACACTGCACAGAGGGCAGTTCTCTCTACTTCCAGTCTGCTGCCTCCATAGAGGTGCAGGACTTTATACTCTTTATACTACGCAGTGAAAGAAAAGGGACCACAGTGAGTACAAATGTGACATGAGCAAAAAATGCCCAGAACAAGCTTGTGGTTTAGAGAGTTTAATGTTGTGCAGCGAAGTGAAATTTGGCAAAGTTTGAGCAGTGTTTCCGAGATAAACCTGGATGGGGAGACCGCAGTAGTGCCTCTGTCTGCACATCTATATACACCAATATCGTTAATTAAGATGAAAACTCCTCCACTGTTTACACATTTCTACCTGTTTTTACACTCCAGCTGAGCAATGAGCTCCCTCTTCTGTTTGTTCACGTCGAAGTTGATGCTTCTGTTTGGTATCACCTGAAACAAACACAGGTTACGAGTGACTGTTGGTTCTTCATTTAACAACCAAAAGTAGATCTTAGTTTAGAACAGCTGCCAATACAAGTGTCATATCTTAGTGCAGATAACTGCTTATTGTGCATTTCATATATTAGCAGTAAACAGCATTGAAGAGATGTTTGTACTTACTCCTGAGCCGTCAGTCTCTGCCAGTCGGGACGTGTAGCGAGCGATGAGTTTGTGCTCTTCATCTTGCCTGCTGGGACTGTCCATACCACTGAAACACAGAAAATCACCAACTTACTCACTGCAGCCTAATAGACTCAAGATCATTCACACCACAAAAAATACCAGTGAAGGTAAGAAAGAAGACCCTAAAAGGGCATGGTGGCAGATTAACAATGAATAGTGCAAATAAACTCTATCCATTATGATGAAGTCGTAATGGTACTGTCTGTGCTGACAAATGTTCTCTGTGAGTCAATGTAGGAGACTGGAAATACTGTCGGCCCAAAATGTTACCTGCACCTCTTGGATTCTGATTAAAAATTAAACAGCCATGTACACAGCGTGCAGCAGTACACAATGCTAGTATTATGAAAAGACCAGCCTCACAGAAACCACTGCAATGATACAGTGCAAAGCAACAAATATGAGAATAACAGCATAACAGGAATGAAATGTGGATTTGAATCTGACTTTGAAATGACTGTAAAACCAAGTAAGGGGACACATTCCTTCTAGCAGTAGTGAATTTAATTTATTACCCTACATAAGTACACCTGACCTTAAAAATGCAGCCAGGTGGCATGGACAAGTTATCCATGAATAATATTAAAAATAGGGAACAGCCCTTTTTCATTCCTAAGCAGATTAAGATAAGCAGAAGATGGACAACAATGCACTGACGAGTGAGTGTGAATGTTCTCGTTGCATTTTTTCTAGCTCTCTTAATTAGGATTATAATAAAAATACAAGACTGAATTGGGCCTCAGTTAAGTATCTCACTCTGCTGCACCTGACGCTCCTCCTTGCCCCCTCCCTGATTCCTTTATGTAACTACCCCCCTGCTGTGTCCCTGCTCCTCGCTCACCGTGGGCTGCTCTGGAGGCGATTCACATACGCAGCAATCAGAGCGTGCTCCTCGTTCATACGCTGAGCTGCTGACAAACTGGACGGACACAAACACAGACAGTCAGCGTCACACACATTGATAATGATGCTACAAGTAGCTTGAGGATCTTTCTTTTGCAGGAATCAAATCAGTGTTACTTTTCTGATACTGTTTGGCTGTTTAATAGATTCTTTTCACTGCCTGTCACTGACAACATATTATCAATTGTTATATTAATGCCAAATTTTAAGTTCCATGTTCTATTATTAAATCACTTTTCTTCCACTTTTTTCATGTTTTGTGGGGGTATTGTTCCAGTACTGGTATGGATATATTTAGGCAGGCATCATATCAAAGTCATAATTACATACCATGATATCATTTTTAATATTTTTTCAGTTTCTCAAGAAGGGGGGAGGCATTTAGTGTTATGCTCACAAAAGAAACTATTACATAAAAGACCTAAAACCTAAAAACTAAATATCCGATTATGCAAATCAGTTTTTTTCCCAAAACACAAACAACATGTAAAGTACAGATCTTTAATGCAATACAATATATCCGTTTTGTGCAATAACTTACAATAATTTTCTTTATGTAATAATTTAGTTTTTCAGTTAATCAATGAATAGTTTGGTTCATACAAATGGAAGAGAAAAGCAGCAGAGAACCAAGATGACACAAAAAAACAGGTGCATAAAGATTTCCGTTAGGCTGATGGATGTTGAGTTCTCCTGGTAACCATAGAAAAACTGTCTTCATAATTTCCTCCCAAAAAAATGTCAAAGATAAATCTTAAATATTAATATTTAATCAACTCCTGCACAAAACCAAGAGAAACAGCAATTTTCAAGCTGGAGGAAGGATTTAATGAACAGCAGTTAAAATATTTCCGATTTTATTTTATATATTTTTTGACGAATAGAGATTCACTGGTTGTTTCAGCTGTAGTTCACTAAAATACCTTCTCATTTTGTTGTTACTTGACATCCTAACATTGTCAAATCCAGTCAGAGAAACTAAACTGGCAGTTTCTGGATAGTTTCTGTGTAGGAGATGGTCATTTACAGAGGACAAAGAAATTAATTAAAAACCCCATTTATGTTGACTCAAGCAAATCGCTACAATCCACAAAATCGTAAACTTCTAGTCAGATGATAAAATGCAGCAAACAGACAGTCTTTACCTCTTGGAGGACTCAGGCGGTGGTGGGGACAGCAACATGGCCTCGCTGGGGTTCCCAATAGGTCTAGAAGGGCTGAACACACACACACAGCTTATTGATTTGACCTGTATTATCAACAAGGTAAACACATGGATAACAGGAAAACAACATTAAATCATAAACCACAGAGGCCTGCCTATCACAAAACTCACATTCTTACATTCACGTTCACATACTCACACACTCTCACGTGCTTTTGAGTGCAATCATGCAATAGTGAATTGAAATGGTCTGAGCAAACACAGACAGGCCAAAGATCGCCAGAGGGAGAGAAAAAAACGAAAGCGAGAGAAGAGAGAGAGCGAACGCAGGTTCAGAGGGAAATGAAAACCAAGCGGAAATTCATAAAAATTTTAGTTTGAAAGAGAAATAAATATGGTAAAGCATCGTTGTAAGCGTACTCACATCTGTGCTAAGTTCAGCCTCTCTGTGCTGGCCTGAATAAAAGGCTAACGCCTGCAGGTCTGTAATGACCCTGTCTGCTGCAGTTTGGAAAATCAAACAGTGTGGATCCGCCACAAGGGGCGGAGCAAGCCAAGCGTTTGGCTACAGAGGTGGGGCTTTGTTTTATTCATGTTAACTGAGCTTTTTATGAACATGTAGCTGCATGGGTGATAACAGACCAAACATGTAGCTAGTACTTGTTAGCAGATGTTTTACTTTCTGCGATGAACATTGACACGTTTCACTGGCAAACGTTAACATTACAACGACAACAAAGCCTTTCAACTTTCCTTATGCTATGTCATGTGTTATGCACAGTCATCCTCAAATGTATTCATACGCTTCCATTATAGAAAAGGCGAAACTCACAATAGTCACTCAAATAACTAGAAACTGAAAAAAGCAATAATAAATAAAAAAAATGGCTAAATTATAATTTAGTGAAATGAGACATTGCTTTTGAATTGTGGTTAAAAAGAATAATTAAAAAAAAATAAAAAATGTCCTGGACAAATTAGAGCACTTTGCTGATGAGCAGTGGGCCAAAATCTAAATACCTGTCAACAGGTGCAGAAGTCTGATGGAGACTAAACAGCAAAATATTAGTTTATGGGTCCCATCATGCTTGTATTTTTTTTAGTTGCTTTTTTAAAAATATATTTCTGTTGAACCACAATTCAAAAGCAATGTCATGATTTTCATTCAATTTTTGTTTTTTATTACTTTTGTCAATTTCAACTTATTTCAGTGACAGCTGTTTATTCCCTTCTTTAATGGGAGGGTATGAATACATTTGAGGACGACTGTATGTGCTGCCCTACTTTTAGAAATACAGTGTGACCCTGATCCCTGCAGAGCCCAGAAAACACTGATGTGTTTGTAAAATCTTGCTCCTACATGAATTCATTCTGCACAAAAACACACAAAACGTAGAATTAAATAGAACTACTGTTTTATTAACTTAATGGTTGTGAACAATTAGATAACTTTAGGTAATAGGCAGCGAAACTGTAGTCAGTCCAAGCATGTCAAATAGATGGATTATTAATTAAAGCATGTCTTCCTCATTTTATTACCATCATCAATCACTGGCTGACTAATGTGTTGTTTTATGTTTGCCATGAACATTTTTTGAAATACTTTGTGTAACTTCTTTAAGTTCATGAAAGTTAAATGTGCTAATTAAAAAGTTACATAGGCTCGTGTCAATAACTTGATACGTATTATAAAGTATGACTGCAGCAAGGTCACGTACACTATGTTGGAGAGGTTAAGGGTCCGCTCAGGTTCCTCTGGGTATATTGGGTGGGGGGCCTCCCTGGATGATACACAGCCCAGAGTCCTGCTCAGGGCCCGGCCAAGCTTTGTCGCCGGTGACTTCTACACACATAAAACACATAAAGAACACACAAACACAAATGTCAGGTCAAATGTCATAAACCACACTTTACAGTAGATTCGTGTAAGACATTACTTTACTGTATAAATGTCACCAACAGCAACACAGAAACTCAATTTTTTTTGTAGATCTTGGAGTTGTTAAGTAATCTTGGTAAGATTTTCGAGGGCCACGTACTTGTTTTGTCTCTCCAACATGTCCTGCCTGATACAGATTTTTGAGTCGCTGTTAATTATTGATGGTTTATCTAGGTGCAGTGCATTTTCAGTGTTTCTCTACAGTAAACTATTGAAGACATGCAATATGAAAATATATATTCATACACTGTGGAATACGCCGGGGTTAGCTCAAATACGAATTTGCAGCTATAGTCCTAAGACAACTAAAAATGACAATGAAAGGAATTTTCACATGATAAAGTAAGAAAGAAAAAGGACAGACAAGAAACTACAGGGAATTTCTAATTAAATATTATTTAAACTTGAAACACAACTAACAGTTGAATGGTTAACTCTCTCGAGCCTAACCACATTCAGCTTTGTTTCACTGAATGTCCCACTAAATTATTACAGCCAGCCAGTACCCACAATACCAGGACCTGGAACCAGCTCCCATAAATGAAAGGCAGCTGTTATTAACGTTGTCAGTTACACCAGTGCTTTTTTCTGCTATTACAAACCAAAATATCTGCTGTGAAAAAAACCTACTGATAGTTGTGTTTATTTTCTGTAGAATTCGACAACATGTCTGAAGAAATACACCTACTTGTTGTTTAATTGCACTGAAAACTATGTGGAATGTTTTGTGGCCATTACAGGGATAGGCTCCAAGCGGTGTATAGATAAGTGATGGATGGATGTGGCCATTACGGCAGCATATTCAAATAGCTCCAGTCATGTTGAAAAAAATGTCATCGCTTACTGTGATTGTACTAAATTCTTTTTTTTCTTTTTTTTTTTTAGAAAAGCATACTTTAAAAGATCTGAGGGGACAGTAAAATAAAACCAGAGGCCAAGACCAAAGAGGGTTGAAGTAAATGATAACAGAGATGAAAAAATACCCATATGTGACTAACAACGAAATTCCACATGTCGCACTTCATTAAAAAAAAGCAGATAGTTAGTCAAGTTCAGGCTTTAGGTTCTGATGTTCCAACACAGATGTGTGCAGCACACTTAATCAAATCAGGCAGCAGAAGTGGATGTAACTCTATTTCCTTTATCTTACTTTCCATAAGCATGGAATAAAATTAACCCAAAAACGCAATGCTGCTAGAAATCATATGTAAAGTCTGCAGAGGATTACTGGCGTAAGTGTCTTGGGGTGAGAGGATTTCGTTGGATAGGCAGAAACTGCACTAGTGAGGAGATTTATCCCTGAAACTGAAACATTAATAAGACAAATTATGCCAAGACGTAGTGATGAATAATTCAGCAACTATGTCTTCATCTTCTAACATATCGTTTCTTCATTGAAAACATTTTCCTCTTGTGGATAGTGAAAGTTTTTTTGAAATATTATGGCAATTTTGTTGGATTGTATTATTATCATTATATGAATATGTCCGTATTTTGCTACTGGTTCCCTGCCTGAATTTATCAATAGATATTTTAAAGTTACGTAAAATCTGATTGAAATCAGTTTAAACGAATGATTCAACCATTAACCCTGAAACTAAGTCCTGATCCTCAAACTGGCCACTGAGAAGGTCAAGACCAGACAAGATGTCATGTCATGTTAGTTGCCAAGTGCCCAACCATCAAGGTCTAAACTTCATAATGTCTAAATGATGGACACACACACACACACAAACCTGCTGTGATGAATGACTAACCACACAGTGACTCACCCAGGATGAGTGCTCCTTCATCTGATGCTGGTTGCTATGAGAGCCGCTGGCGTTGCCGCGCCAGAAGCAGTTCTGGCAAAGCTGGTAACCACGACAACGGAGGCAGCGATAGCGGAAGCCTGTCATGCCATTGCCACGACAGTAGGAGCATGACACGGGATGATAGACTGAAAGAAAGACACAATCTGTCAAACGATCAGCCAATACAAGACAGACGAGCATGACAGGCTGATAAAGAGATGACACATCAGGCCGGCTTCTCCTCCGTCCTGCTGTTGTGTATTTGACAGCTGTTTCAGAAACTAGTTACAGAAAAAAAATCACGTACCCTGATTGGCTAAAAATGTAGCCCCAAGTTAACCTCTAGCCAATAAGAATACTACCGTATAAATGAACACATTTCTTGCCTAACAAAGTGAAAGTATGTTTACTGCAACATAGCTAGAGGGTGCTAGCTCAGCTTAAGTAATATTTGGGGATGACAAGGGAGGATTTTCTTAAAAAATGTATTGCAGCCATTCCTGATGTAGCAACAGCGCACTCCCAATGTTCTGATTAACTGCAATGCAGATTCCAACACAAGTTACTCATCCATATCCAGTGTCGCGATGGGCAGTGGTAAGTTGATGCTAAAGCTCCCCATCATATTTTATGTGAATTTCTGTTGTGGACACCACCTTAACTGTGCTTAGTCTTGAAGCAGGAGTTTCAAAATTTAAACTTAAACTAAACAACAGAGGAGATGGAATGTGGTAATATTACAACACAAGAGGGACCGCACCATCAGTCCATTTGGGCTGGATTTGGGTGATTCTGCACTTTAAGCTGTTTGTTTGGTAAGTCCTCCAACTTGGCTACTTGGTGAACAGTCAGATAACAAGAGTAAAAATGATAATACACTTTCAGTAATAAAATTAACTGCAAAATAAAAAGACCTTATAAAGAAAAAAAAAATTAAAATTATGAACTAAAAAAATAGTTTGAACAGAAACCAAAAATACGCAAACATGCAACCCATAAACCATTTACCGCAAGTAAATTTCAGCTGACGAACTTGGCCAGCTGATAATGGTTTGCCTTGTATCTGCAGCGTGTGTGTGTGTGTGTGTGTGTGTGTGTGTGTGTGTGTATGTACCATGCTCCACATTGGCCAGGCGGTGCATCAGAGGCAGCCAGACGAGACACTGAGGAGGGTCAGCTACAACGTCCAGGAACATGTTGAGCATCACTCTCTTCTACACAACAAGAGCATTTACAACAGAGGAAACCCCTTTAGAAACACAGACCCAACACAGTGTGGTACATTCAACCTGAGGTAAGCTCTTGTGATCCTCTCTGCTTTTTAAAAAATCTTTTCTCTACTGCACTGTTGACGAAAGAGAAACAGCAGGAAAATGGAGAATATCAGGTTTACTATAGGCTGTGGCATAAGTCTAATCAAGGTCAGATGAATAAGTTGTGAGCACGTACATGTTGTGGGAAGCAGGAGCGTGCTAAGGTGTGTGTGTAGCCAAAGGACGGTCCTTCATGTACAGCAGTGGGCAGCTTGAGAGCCTCCCTCAAAAAACCATCAAACTTGGATTGTACCAACACACCACTGCTGTCAGATACCTGAGAAAACACATCTACACACACACACACACACACAAAGGAAAAACAATTATTAACTGCTGGTTAACCTTGTGGGAGGCTGATTTTTTATACGCAGATCAGAGGTGAGTCTCCACAATGTGAAAGATTTTTGTGCACACAACAAACATAATTGATACATGTGCAAGTGATAAAGTCAGTGTAAACAGCAGTATTGACATGTGTTTTCCACAAGGTGGCACATATGCAACATGTCTACACTTCCATCAATGCCAAAAGTAAAACCAAAAGATTTAGAGAGCCTTGCAAAAAGCTATTTCAAAATAACACAAGTGAAATCTACCTAAGCCCAAATTGTTTTGCTGGAATTTTACTTCTAATTTTTGTCTTTACCATGATACTGCACAGCTCAAAGGAAGTCTGGCTGAAACACATCATTTCATACAACAATCAGGTTGGCCTCTCACCGTGAGAAGATGATTATTGCATTAATAGTCTGTATATTTTGTGTAGCTATGAGAGCACCATTGAAAAGTATCAGAGCTGTAATTTGTACAAGGTTTCAAAATCATTCACAAAGAAAATGTGAAGAGAGGTTAGAAAGAAACCACAGATGAGTTGTTATGGTTATGATGCTACTTTATAGTCCACTTGCAGGACTCTGTTGCATACATGGCAGTCGATCTGTGTCTATATATTTCAGGAGTCGATGCGTAGACAGCTTTAGGTGGTGAGTGTCCATGCGGACCGCTCTGTATAGCACTGGCCAAAGCAGCACAATCCAGTCGTCATTCAGATGCAAGTTTTCTAGCTTTGCATAAGCTGTTGTCTTCCACTTTTATTTGTGTCTTATTTTATTTAGTTTTTAAACAAATGACACTGTGTTTAATGCATGAATATTTTTATCTTTATGGTTGAATTCAGTTCTATTTACATTCTAGTTAATATGGATAAAAATCCATTGATATTGACATCTAACTGAACCAAAGATAATATAAAAAATAATACTCTTACTCCTTTTACACTATTAACATCACCATTTACATCTCTGTGTTCACATGCAAAGCCTACATATGTTTGAGAAATGTTCTGGGAAATATTTAAAATATTCTGGGGAAATGTGACATAAATTATGGATTTCACATGGATGGTGTCAGTTGGTACTCACAGCGAAGTTTATCCACCAGCTTCCCTCCACACAGTGTAGCCAGCATCGCCTTCACAGAGAGAACCGTCAGGCGGCTTTCTGGCTCACTACAGCACACATAAAAACACATTCAACACTACAGCCCAGTGTATGTCACAGTAAACCAAGTATGAAACAGGCACGTGCATACACCCACATCACCACAGTGACCCCTCTGGAGTTACCTGTCTACGGCAGCCAGTATGAATTCGACCAACAGGACGGTGCTCTCTTGCGGGTTGATGGTGTGTGTGGTGGGCAGGCGTTTGCTGAGCTGGTTGAACAGGGAGGACACCAGGTTCTCCAGTCTGATCACAGAGATGCCAGCGTTCAGCTCTACTGCATTTAGACCAGCGTCCCGCACCGCCTCGATCACATTGTATATGTCAATCAGATGCACTGGAAGGAGGGGAATGAAATCAACAACATTTTAAGATATACTGGTTTGAAAAGTTGGTTTAACCTTAAAAATCTCTCCCTCTTTACTTATACTGTAGGAACAGTTTTGAAAGTATTTTTGAAAAATTTACAGTCATCCTCAAATGTATTCATACCCTTCCACTAAAGACACATGACCACATTACCGTCAAGAGCAAGGAAGCTAATGAGTAACCAAAGAATTACATTTTACTCGTATTTTTCTCCACTTCTTCTAAAGCACATTTCTTACAATGTTAGTTGAAAAAGAGAAAGTCTGAAGAGTTGTCAAGTGAGCACAACTGAGAATTTTATTCAAACTTTTTAGGCAAACTTACACCATCATGTCATTATTTTATTAACTCCAGTGCTGACTTACGGTTGCATCTCTTCTGTATAAATCTGAGCTTGCAGGCTGTTCGATACGTAGAGAGACAAATGGCATCAAAGTTCTGCTCCGCTGTACAAGAAGAAGAAGATATTCAGAAAGTCTGCTGGGTCATTTTGCAGCATCACTAGCATCACTGTCACACTCTCACCCCTCTGAATAAACGCATGTCCTCAGCACTGGCTATGGTGTGATATGTTTGAGAACATGTTCCGCTACAGACAATGACGTTCATTTTTGAATGTGGAGGACAGGGCTGTTGCACTTTAAAGCTCAGAGCAGAGCAGCAAGATTAGCTACAGGGATGAAAGGAAAACTAATTCCTGGGTTCTATGCAGGGGCTATGTAAGGCTTATATTCACGGTCGAAGGTCACTCACCAAGCTCCGTAAAGATCTGCCTCCCCTCTGCTGCTGCCATGGTTGGGATCCCCCTCCCTCTGTCTCTCTGACCCCCCTCCTCCATCACCATCCTGCATGAAACACAGAAGAGCAGGAAAACTCAGTATCACAGTTTTTATATAAGCACTGAAAAACTAATTATCTGAAGCATCTAAAACTAACATCAACGCCCACTATATGTCAAGATCAGCCAGCAACATGGAGGCAAGCAAGGAGTTGGGCATTGTTCTTCTCTCTGTCTTTTTTCATTTATTATTCTATTATTTGTGGCAACTTCAATGTGTACAACTCACTACAGCACTATCGGTGAGATACTCTGCCTTAAAATGTGCGCCGTTATCACCGTTTTAACACTACTACACCCATACTCCCATGCCTGTGTGGATTCTCGCACAGAGTACTGATTCCAATTTCTGACAAATGTACAAACAGCATATCTGAAACACCGGTTCTAAATGACTACAAGCCAAACTTTATACCTCTATGTACCCATGTGCTGTAAGACCATCAGCTGATTTATTCTCATAGTTGTCATTCTTCATAATATATTGGGTAAAACACCAGACTTGGTGTAAGACTGTTGTTTCTGAGGCTGGCAAGGTGCCTTCATGTTTAACTGTTTAACTTAAGACGTGACAGCTGTTCACTTTTTACTGGGGTGCATCACAACGGTTACTTATGCTGCACACCTAGCCTTCACTTGAGCAGCAACACTGCTGTCAATTCTCTTGGAAAATGGCATTGGCCTTCCTGAATGATCATGTGGAGCTCAGTGTGCAGGTAGTAAGAGAGTCTCCTAGGAAAGAAAGAGCTTTTAGAGTCCATTTACGCTCTTTTCTTTACCCGATGAGCACAGATATGAGAGATATAGATTTTGAAAGGTGAGAACTCCAGTCTTCCTTGTTTTATTTATTTATTTTCTGCGTTGACAACAATAACTTGCAAAACAATGTCACTATTCTATAAGCCTTTGTAGAGTGATATAATCCTGAAACAGAGATTTATTAAGCACTAAAACCTTGCACTTGTTTACCTTATCAGATTTACAGCAAACCTACTTACTGGTCTAGATTATGTTTTTTACTTTGAGACCATTTAACACCGACGGGGTTCAAGCTGAAGGAATGAGGCTGTATTACATGCCACAAGAAGACATTTAAGTGACACATTAATTTAATGGAACACACAGTTGCACACAGTCAGATCTACTCCTGGGGCGGTGAAATTAATAAGCCTACTTAACTAACACAGTCACATAGTCTGCAGTTTTTTTGACAGGTTTTCTTCCAGCAGCTCTGATGTTATTACCTTGTGTTATATTTATAAATTCTAATAATCATTAAGGATTATAGTCGGTTCTTCTTGTGAGAATTATGCAGCTCCAGTGTACCAGCAGTGTCATGGGTATCTGGTGCCAACATCCTCCCTTTTATGTAAATGTGCTCAGAGGTAGGTTTAGAATACCAGGGTTACTTAACAAGCTGATAACCAGTTTCATGTGACCTCCTAACCTGCCTGCGGTTGTTAGTCTTGGTGAACCCAGATAAGGAAAAGATATTCTGGGTACGTTGAGCTCCGTAGTACAAGCACAAGGAAATATGGTCAACAAAGACCATCACTGATCGGTTTTTGAACTCTACATGCAGAGAGGATGTGGAGTCTCACAAGTGACTAAATCTTACAAAAATACAACTAATTACAGACGACAAATAGACAAACTTAATTTTTACACCTACGCTGACACACCCACTAACACAAACTAACTGGAGGCACACAGAGAGTCTAATTCAGGGCCACCAGAGGATGAGTTGAGTGCTTAGTAAATAAACACATTAATGAGAGCAGCTGATGAAATCTGATCTGTAGGCTGGCACTTGGACAACTTAACAAGGGTACAGAGAAAAAAAGAGAGGGGGTAGAGAGGGAGGGAGGGCTGGGGTGAAAGAAAGAAAGAAAGAAAGAAAGAAAGAAAGAAAGAAAGAAAGAAAGAAAGAAAGAAAGAAAGAAAGAAAGAAAGAAACCTGTCAGCCACCTCTGTCAGGTGACATGGAAAACACCAGGGGATATGAGTCGCCATGGTAACAGTTACACTACACCACAAAACTGAAACACACAAATATTTGCATTCCTTGTATAAATGTGGTGACAAGCCCACCCTAACACACACACACACACACACACACACACACACACACACACTACAGAGAGAGAGAGACAGAGAGAGAGAGAGAGACACACACACACACACATTCCAGAGAGGATTTGAAAGCTTCCCAGGAGACTTCATGCTTCATCCACACAAAAGACGGATTCCTCCTTTCAGTCACTCTCACTCAGAAACTCTCTCTCACACACATTTCTTTACATCTCTATACAGCTGTTTCATTGCTATTTCTCTCTCACACACTCACACAAAGACTCCAGAGACTCTGAGAGTATGGTACAGTCAGCTAAGTGCAACTTTTTTTGGTTTTAAAAGCAAATCTGCTGACTTGCAGTGAAAGCCAATACCAAGCTGAGAATACGAGACGGGAGCTGTGGTTTTCCAGTCCCAGATCCACCATCACCAAAGCAGCCAAAGATGTGTCGTAGAGTCCCTAATATTTCCTGGCATGCTGGTACTAAATCAAAAGGTGTTCTTTCTAGGTCAGGCAGCTCTACCAGAAACCTTGAGAGTGGCACTAAGCGACAGCCAATTACTACAAGGGAAGAGTTGGACCCGGAAGATAGCAGGATATAAGGTAGTCATGGGTTCTACATTCATTTTAATAGATTCCAAATGTTACATACATACATTCTGCTCGTTGATCAATGTGCATTTTGTGGTTCAGGTGTGAATCCTCTGGTTTAACTGACAGAAGCCCATTTACATTATTCAACAGTCACACTGCACTTTTTCCAGCATGTCTTATACAGGAACTAAACTCATGCCATGCTGCTTGTGTGATATCGCACATCAAATTGCAGTATTTGACGCAGTTAGGTATTTCCTCCAAATTGTTCAGTCCGAGCATGGATGGAAAAAAAAAACACTCTCACAATTAATCTCAATTATCTTAGTTAAAGCTTGCACTGGGAGCAGGACTATGTCAAAAACATAACACAACACAGAAGAGATGGATGCTGTGTGTTAGGTGGAGATGTCATGACACCAGAAATTTGGTAGACGATACGTTCGCCTCTGTGGATGTTGTGATAACAATTTGTTAACAGGAACTTTCATATATGCTTCGATAACTTTGAGGTGTTTCCTCCTTTCGTGCAAATGCTCTGTGTCACTGCTTGCTAAGCGGCTTTTGGATGTCTACGACTTGTTTCATGCATAGAAAACAAGTGCCATCATGTTTAGAACTTTGGCATCAACTACTGGTACCAAAGCTTTCGTTCTCATGCCATCCCTGGTACTTAAAGCGGATCAGTGACTTGAAGATCTCACAGTCACAGGATCTATAGTCTTGTTGTCTGAGCTTGGCATCAGCCACTTCTTTAGTTAGACACAGCAGACGTACACTAGACAACATTTGCAAAAGGATAACTCTCATGTTACTTTACTGTAACTTCCATCAGTCCACTCATACTGCAAAAAGTCAGATAGACTGTAAATAAAACATGTTTGTTAAAATCTAGATAGTCACAGACACACTGAGGGCTTGGTAAACAAACTGCATTCAGATGTGTAGATAAAGCAGCGAGATACCACTTCCTCTCAACGGGTTTGTTATTTTTAGGTTTGTTTAGCACTGAGTGGTTATTTTACATATGTAGTTGCTGCCACTACCGAAGAGGAGCAGGTCTTTTTATGTTAATTACCAAGTGATTGCTATATGACTTCATATTAGGTAATATTTTAATCATTTGCTCTGTAAAATATTCTGAAATGTCCATTTCAATTTCCTAAAACCCGAGGTGATGTTGTTAAATTGTTGGTTTTGTCCCAGCAACAGTGAAATTACAAAGATTTTGTTTACCATCACATACAAAAGTAAAGCAGCAAATTCTTGCAGTTAAGTATCTGTAACCATGAAGCATTTATGCTTTAAAAACTTAAAATAGCTCAGATTGAATAACTGAACTATTCATCTTTGACATTTCTTTAGATTCCATTATCTGAAGAGGGAGGCAGCTGACAAAGTGACTGCATGAAAGTCAGTAAATGTTTGTTGCTGAAGCTTTGTGACCTCACAAAAAATTTTTTTGGTTGGACACACATGGGCCAAAAAAAGAGCTATGACTGCATCCAACAGTCTCACTAGCTCACCAGTTACCACTCCCATGGTGAGTAAATTGTTATTTCCAGCCTGGCCTTGGTGATAACTACACCCTGTCTGTCTGTCAGTGTCTGTCGCTGTGTGTAAAGCTGACATGGAGGAACATGTGGTCTGTGAGATTTGCTTCCTATTTTAACTCTGAAAGCTTTAAATCACCGTAGATGTATTTACGCCTGCAGCAATTAACGCTAAATATGTCAGAGGGCTGGAAACAGCTTGGCTGTCATTTTCCCACTCACTGGGTCACAGTAGAATAGATTGGCTGCCACAAAAAATGGATCAACATTAGTTAAGAATGTGGTTTTCAGATCAACTAGTCTGTCACCCAAGACACTGCATCAATGTCCACCTGCAGTGAAAGAGGCTTCTTATGACCACTTTCTCTGTCAGTTAAACAGAAATTTAAATTTATCTTAGTCAAGCTGTCTAAAAGTAGTGAAACATTAAGAAAATAGTGAAAACTGAGTTCATTGTATTCAGCAAAGTTAAACATTGTCAAAAAACTACTGCATGTATTTAACTCTCAGAACTCTAAGAAGTTTCTGGGCTTTTTTTTTTTTTTTTTGCTCCTCTCACATTTTTTCCTCAATGTTGGCTTATTTTTTACTGCAATATAAAGTCCTGCACCTCTAGGCAAACATCATGACGTGAAAAATATCTTTTGTACAGTATAACAAAGTCAAAAAGAAAAAAACATTTTCTTTGAATAATTATTTTGGAATATTGGAATTGGAATATTGGAATATTATGGAATCAACCTTTTTTTTGCCCAAAGGTGAATATAGTGATGCAACATACTGAATATTTTATGACTTACATTTTTAATTTGTTTCCATTCTTGTCTCCTAAACACAGCCAGCAGTTCAGCCCAATTCAGGGAAATAATCTTTTATTTTTGTCACGTGCCCGTTGGTCGTAGCCGAGTTAGTAATGGCTTCTCGGTTGCCCTGAGGAGCACAGAATTTTAGTTTTCACATAATCTGGGGCAAACAATATATTTTTGGCAAACCCTTAAATGAGGCACGTAGAATAAAGTGATTTTATTAAAATTCCACAATTGTATGATGTAATTTGGTTTATTTTGCTGTCACAGATGCATCACAGATAAAAGGTTTAAAATATGACAATTTTTCTACTTTTACACTTTCTGGCTCATATAAATGACGTAATTTTGGCCCGTTTTAAAAAAGATAGCACCTTTTAAATTAGTGGGTTTGGGTGATCACATTCACCAATAACCAAAAAATACTTCTAAAGGCTGCTGAATGCTTACACATTGATCCAGGTGAGTGGTTACATGATATACTATTCTGACACACAATACTATTTTCATTTTCTAGATCAAAATATTGCCAAACTGTGCTGTTTCTCCAGTATGTCACCTCTCAACACTCAACTAAACGTCAACAAATAGTTTGTACTTATTGAAACAATATCGAAACAGTAGCATATGTAGTAGTGATGTAGAACAGAACTGTGCCGCTTTGTTTTGTGTTTGGACTAGGGGTTGCTTCTTCTCTTACAGAAGAATATCAGGATAATTTGTATGTACACTCGTCCGCAAATGTATTCATACCCTCTCATTAAAGAAGGAAATAAACAGCTGTCACTGAAATAAGTTAAAATTGACAAAAGTAATAATAAATACAAATTGAATGAAAATCATGACATTGCTTTTGAAATGTAAAAAACAAACAAACAACAAAAAAACAACAACAAGCAAACAAGCATGATGGGACCCATGAACTAATATTTTGTTGAACAACCCTTTGAGCCAATCACTGCAATCAAGTGTTTTCTGTAACTCAGTCAGACTTCTGCACCTGTTGACAGGTATTTTGATTTTGGCCCACTGCTCATCAGCAAAGTGCTCTCATTTGTCTGGGACAGTTTTGTTGTTTTTTGGGTTGTTTTTTTTTTTAATTATTCTTTTCCACTACAATTCAAAAGCAATGTCTTATTTCACTAAATTATAATTTAGCAATTTTTTATTTATTATTACTTTTTTCAGTTTCTAGTTATTTCAGTGGCTATTGTGAATTTTGCCTTTTCTTTAATGGAAGGGTATGAATACATTTGAGGACGACTGTAGGTGAATAAAAAAAGAATTTAAATGCATTAGCGTTTCATCTCCCAGTCACTGCTTAAACCAGGAGAAGTAAGAATGAAAATTCAAACATCCAGCTTGAAAGTTTTGTTTGTTATCCAGCATAAATTATAAAGTTTCCACTGTTAAGAGTAAGACATCATAATAAAGTCATGGTATTGCTTGACCACATGCAGATAATGAATTTTGCTGGAATAGTTGCTGTCACAGAAACAAAACATACAGGAGACTAGTATTTAGTGCAAATGCTTTGTTTGGAAAATAAATATTGAGCTTACAGTAAATACCCGTATTACTGCTATGTAAGCAGTAAATATGTATGTACTTAGTAGAAACAATGAAGCTGATCTTGCTGATGACAGACGGAGGAGTTCATTCTCTTTTCTTAAGGACCTCAGTCACATGAAGGGAGAGAAGAGACACGGAGAGGTACAGTGTTTACAGCTGACTGCATGTGTGCTGCTTCTCTGTGTTTGTGTGGGTGGCGATCCACACTTGTGTTGCACCATGGTGTTTTATTATGGCTGACATTTGCTGAGCTTCACGGAAACAAACACACACACACAACACACACTGCTCTGAATACACAAACTCTGAAGCAGGGGACACGCTGTCAGTCTTCAGCTCGACTCTGGCTTAAGTGAGGGTTTAGAAAAGATAGCTGAGTTGTCCACTTTTACTAAAGGCACAGGGGCCTCTGCATTCCCACTTATGTTGTGTGTGTGTGTATATACGTGTGTGAGGGTGTGTGTGTGTGTGTGTGGTCATACCTCTCTGTGTCAGGGGGTCACACAGGACAGAGGAGCCTCAATAAAGGACGTCTAGCAAAGAGACAAAGAGAGAAGAGAAAGATCGATTGAAAAGTCTATTCAGCCTGGAGACAATAATGTCAAAGGCTCTTTGGGGACACACTCTAATTGACACACACACACAACACCACTCCTACATCTCTACAAATTTCTTAGAGCACCACACACGCTCAGTTATTTGAAGACAAATTAGGGAGTAATCACATTCTAGCCGACTATTTAGTCCACTGCCGATACGTTGAATGACCCTGACCATGGTTCATTTTCTATTCTCATCCATGGTAAAATGTTATTAGCTCCGTATTTTAATACTCAGTGTATTCAGAGGGTTTACTTTAAGGACTCTTTCTATGAGAATTTTGCAACAGCTATCACAAAGATTACTCTTTTATTCCTGAAATTAGATTGTGAAGAAAGCACAACTTCCTCTACTTGGCATGCCGGTAATACACATCGTAAATTAGTGGATCATTAGATGATTCAAATTGTGAAGTATTAAACTGTACAAGAAAAAAAAAAGCCTCTTCTCTTATAGACAGAGACTGTATATAAAAGCTAGCCATAGCGACTCCTGCATCAAAGTCTTGAGTCATTTCTCTTTAAATGGGACTGTAATTTACATTTATAACAATAATGTTTACTGAGGTAGCCTATCAAGGAAGAAGTAGGGTCATTTTCTCATAGACTTGTAAACAATCGGACTTGTTTCTTTGCAAACAGAGGAGTCACTCTTTCCTGTGAGAAAGAATGCAGGTTAAAGCACTTCAACCTTCACCTCCCCACTCCCACCCAACCGCTTGCTCAGAGGAAGTCCAAAGGCTACTTTGGATTGTTGGGTTCTCTGTTTAAATTTGTAAGGTCTATACCTTACTATGTTAAGCGCTGTGTGATAACATGTTGTAAACTGCGCTATACAAATAGAACTGAATTGAATTGAACTGAACCTGGGCTGCAAGGTGCCTCAGTGGTTAGCACCGTTGCCTCACAGCAAGAAGGTCGCCGGTTCGTGTCCCGGTGAGGACACCCGGATCTTTCTGTGTGGAGTTTGCATGTTCTCCCCGTGCAGTGTGGGTTCTCTCCAGGTTCTCTGGCTTCCTCCCACACAGTCCAAAAACATGTAGCGGTTAATTGATGATTCTAAATTGTCCGTAGGCGTGAATGTGAATGCTTGGTTGTCTGTCTCTAAGTGTGGCCCTGTGATAGACTGGTGACCTGTTCAGGGTGTCCCCTGCCTTCGCCCTAACCCCCCCCCCCCAAAAAAAACAAAAACAAACCCTAATGACGATTAAGCGGTATATAGATAATGAATGAATGAATGGATGGATGGATGGATGGATGGATGGATGGATGAATTGAACCTGCTGACTGTTTCTGTACATAATGTGGTGCTTTTCAGACAAATATTGGGAAAGACAGCAGCAGCCAATGCCAGTGAAATTCTACCCAGAATAAAACCAAAACATAATAAGCTTCAACAGTCAGTGTCAGCAATATTGTTCCACAAATATTTTCTAACTCAATCCACGTGAAAAACACAAGATCTAAAAACAGACTGAATATGAACCAAGACAAACTACACAAGGCAGACGGTCACATCCTGCCAGCGGGCGTCACGAGTAAGACAGTTGGATAGATATCACACAGACAAGAGAACTGTATTTCATTGTTTATACATTCAAATGCCAAAGTACGACTGGACGATTATGATAAAAATTCTAATTAGTATTATTTTGATCCATGCTGAGACCACAAACATTCATTGCTTTTAAAGGACAAAATCTTTTTATTGCACTTTCACATTTACACAGAGCCCTGTTTTCACTTTCATGTTGTTCCTGCTAATGCACATCGAAAAAAAGACTGGTCCTTCACAGTGCATCTCCTAGAAGCAAAATTTAAATCGAATATTACCAAAAGCTTTAAGCAACACAGCACTGCTCTCACTTTCACATGACACACGTTACGAATATCTAAGTTGACACTGGAAAAGGATCTGGATTAAGTGAGGTTACATTAGCAAAGTTATTCCTCTTGGCAATTAAGTGTTTACGGTGTTTATTATTACTGCAGGTTGTGGTGTTTTTTCAAGTAGTTAAATGAGTTAGTTGCTTCTTGCTTCATTTATAGCTTTAGAAGAAACAGCAACATGACATCTCCCCAAAAGTAAGCCAAGACATCTTGATCTCTCTCTGGTCGCTGCCTGTTCATTTAGAAAGTGCTTGATTTGATATGTGGCAGAGTTTTCCATTTTAAACATAAATACCACAGTCAATCATGTTCATTTTATTACAGAAAGGCAAAATTGTGATCAAGATTAATATCTGATTAATTGTGCAGGATTATGCCAAAGTATCAACAATTTTGAATAAGACAAAGCAGTAAGACTCAGTGCTACAATAAAAAAAAGAGCCAGTGTTCCCTGTCTTGTAATATTACCAGATGTGTTGACATATCAGTTAGAAGAATATTATTTTCCTGTTAGCATTTGGTTAGCAACCTCAAGTGTCACACATAATCATATCACCATGTCATTGAAAACTGTCAGCATCTCCCCGTCTGTTCAGCTGTATTTAAAAGACGTCCTCCAGTATGACACTTGTCGAGGAACTGTGGATTATAATCAGGATTTCATAGCAGAGTTCAGTAGTTTAAGAGTGTCCGCTTCACTCAGTATCGAAAGTATTTAAGGTTGGGATTCACTGAATGATTAAATTCAGTGCTGTTGGTTCTGTCTGCTTGATTGGATTAGAATATATTTTATTTTGACGAACAATGTGTTTGTGGATTCCCATTCAAACATTTCCCGCAGTATTACCCAACATAGAAACACAGAACTCTCATACCAGTCATTTATGTTTAACTCTGCCCACCAGTTTTAATGATGTCCACTCAGTTCGGCATGGTTGACAGCTTTAATCACAACAGTACTCAAGGGGCTTGGTTGTGGTTGCTGTGGAGACAAAACATGGCACTACAGTTGTTCAATTTTTGAGCCAGAATCCAAACATGAACTGATTTAAAGTGCAGATTGTGAACTCAGTTCAATCAACATCCTAAGTTGTAGAAGTCCTCCAGTCACATAACACCGTCTATGGGAAAAATTAATGAGACTCTGTGGCCCCTCAATATAGCGCTGTCCACTTTGAAACTCTATTTTGGAACATTAAACCTGCAGTGCCGGACTTTGTCTTCCCCTTCTGGGGGAGTAATTATGCAATCACTGTTGACGCTTCCTTTGGTTTGGTTCCTTGTTGCAGTTGTCGCTATCCAATATGTAGCCACAGCTGTACTCTACTCTGTCTCTGTCGCAGGCTAGCTGTAAAATTACAATTACAACCATTACTTTGAAGTATTATTTGGCATTTGTAAGGAAAATTGTACGATAATTGCATAGATATGGAATGCTTTTGAACACTATTTCTGTTTTATGATGTCAGGGTGTGCTATAGTATAATGTGACAGTGTGCAAACTCGGTGCTGCATCGGTGCAGACCACCCAACCAGTGCACCTGTTTATTAACAACCACCACACACACTCTCTCTCCAGTATCTCACCAGAGTAGTGGTTACCCAGGGCCAACACCTGAGCAAGACAAATGGTCCTGAAAACAAACACACCTCATCTTCCCTACCACAAGCATCACTCGCTCTGCTTCTCACACACAAACACACACCTGTCCTTAAATATCAGTTGCTCTCCATATAAAACAAACAGATTGCAGGCCTGAATCTGAAGCCAAAAATCTTTCTGTATCAGCACAAACACTGGACTCACCGCTGTGATCGGTGGGTGGATCCACCGACTAAAATGTCTCGAGAGAAGGAGAAGAAGCAACACGGTGACACCAACAGAAACGGGCGTCAGGCAGGCGAGGGGGCACTAAAGAGGGGTAAGAGGGTGTTTACCGCCCTCTGCTCACCACACACCCAGGCATGCCACATGACCACATTACCACTTGCAGCTGCTCGCTATTCTCACCGTCTGCCCTGACAGGACCTCACCAGTGTGTGTGTGTGTGTGTGTGTGTGTGTGTGTTATACATGATAAATTTACAGTACTGCGTGCTACAACTTTAGACACTGACGTTGCTGAAATACCTATGAGCTCCATTTATCCTCTAAAAGACCCTTTACAGTAGCACGCAAACGGTGAGAGGCTTCTTGGCCGGACCCACAAATCCCTCCAAAAGCTCTCCAGCAATTTTTCAATTTTTCTTTCTTTTTTTTTTTTTTTTTTTAATTAAGGTTTCAGGAAATTGAGAAACTTGGATTTTGTAGGGCTGACTGCATTACTGGTGGTTTGGCTCAGTCTCAAGGGCTCTGAAATGTTTTAGACATAATGAAGACCAAATAAACTGTCACTTGCTATTAAACAACCAGCTGAGCTTTCTACAGAACAAGCAATGCATTGTGTTTCTTTACTGTAAACTGTATCTAGTCCAGGCATGGTATGATAACTGAACACTATTGAATATTTCTAACTTGAAATTAGTACGATATGCAGCTGCAAAAACGGATGGGTATGTATTAGCTGAGGAGCAGTGTCTGTAGCAGATGTAATCTTATTCTGGGTATCAATTAAAAATTTGATGTTCTCCAAGATGCGTTTAAAAAGTTTCAAGTTTGTGCCTATAAAAAGACGAAACTGTACCTGATTTAAATTTGGCTACCATCCCCTTACAAGTAGCCACCTTCTGCAGTGACACACCTCTTCCAGCCCTCCTGCCATCCTTGGAACACTTGGAAGTCCTGTTTTCTAAGCATGTCAAGCACATCTCCAACATGTGCGGCATCTCCTCCTCTGCCAATCTTTCAGCTTGAATTTCAATTCTGGAACAATAATATTTTGCAGTGAATCACATGTTGCGAGTTTATAACACGCTGTGAGCATGTGCGTTATCTAGATGAAACACCTAATTATACAGCAGCACAGTTCAGGTCATTTGTGCCAAATGTCACAAATATTTCAGTCGAACTCAATGCAGACAGTTTGACCCTGGGAAACCAATGCACGGTGCCAAACCATGTGAACGTCAAAGAAAATGACGAGCGTGCCCTGGATGCACTCCTGACCTAACGCGCCTTCTTCCGTCTTGAAGACTGCGTGCTGTTCCACTGCAAAAACTACTGTTTAGTCTTTGGTCACAGACTAACTCTCATCACCAGTGATGATCTTTGACATGAAGACTGGGTCATGCTGGTGCTGCTACTGCAGATACATAATGAAATGGCAAATGCACAACTGCAAAAAGTGACAAAAGTACATTAAACACAGGGTATGATGTTGATCATGCAACATCAAATCCTGATACACCTGTTGCACGTGCAAGTAAGCTGTACATGGTCACATTTTGTGTGTAGTCAATAAAATGAGGGCAAACAGTGCAAAAATGTTTACTCCAATCCCTGCATGACATTAGATGAACAGTTCAAACCCAAAGTTATTCCACTTACACTTATTTAAGCTAGTAGAAAGTTGAAGAAAACTTTGAAAATGCTAAAATACTCACATTTGAGAAGGAGCAATCAACAAATATTCTCCTTCTTTGTTTGAAAACAAACAACAATTGGACTAATTTTCAGGCTAATGACTAGCTGAAAAAAAATGACTAATTGTTGAAGCACACATCCTTGAGTCCTTGCATGTTGACAAGAATAGATATTAGAGACAAAACATATTGTAAACTGTAAAAACCTTCTCCTTCACGGCTAACTTCTCACAGGGCTTTTTTCACACAGAAACCTTCAGCTGCATCAACTGCAAGTAATTTAAACTTAAACCAAAACTCTCCTTGCCTCTCCAATCTCTTACTCCTGACCTTCGATCCCTGAGCTGACAAAGAGACAACCAGTCTGACCCCACGTGACTCCGTCGATGTCACCAAGCAGGTAAAAACAGAAGCAACACATCTCTAGTTACACATTTAGGATGGACAGCTAGCATGCCAAGGGTGTTTGGAGGACTGGTGGAGAAGCTCGATGTTCTGAACTGCAGACATAGTGGAGTTTGTTGTTGAGGGCTTTACAGGTCCAAAAAGATGAAACAATATCAAATAACCTGTAGGGAAGCCACCAAATCCAAATCCTCCACTGAAAAGTGGAAGGATAGGAACACAATTCCCAATGAATGAGAATTGAAACAGCGAGCACCTCGACTAAGTTTGACATGATTGTCCTGCAAAAAAAAGATGAATCTGGCTCAGTTTTTGTACAATACTGCAAGTTCTTGGAAGCACACTATTAGTATTTCTACTATGTATCTGGCAACTGTGACAACAAAAACTAAAACAATCGCTGCTGTAATACGTTCACAGAGTTGTAAAATACTGGTACTTGATTAATCCTATTCAAACCACTTTGAAGTGATGTGGCACCTGAAACCCTTTCAAACTTGTGGCTCTATTGCTCAAACTGGCCTTCGTGGATCATATTTCATTGTCTCATTTGTACCTGAAGCAACACGCCCAAACAAACGCATACCCTTGCATTGTTTTACAGCACTCCTCTCAAGATAAACTTACATTGACATAGACCTACGACTTGGGGCAACAATAATAAAGTCTAGAATTTAACAAGAACTGGACTAGCAATCTTGCTTTTCTGATGCATGCTCCTCTGGTGTAGGGTGTTCACAGCAGATCCAAAGAAAGAGAAAAAGAAATGTAGAGAGACAAAGAAATGCAGAGACTGAGAGAAAGAGAAACAGAGCAGATGAAGATGTGAGAAAAAACACAAAGTGAAATTGAGGCGCATTAAGAAGCCGGAAGGAAGCAAAGAATGAGAAACTGTGGTGAAAGCAACAACATGAGTGCAAGACAAAAACAAAATAGAAGAGATAGGAAGTGGAAGCTGTGTGTAATGTCAAACCAGACTGCATAATAGTGTAAAAGCATTCACATGGTTTGACAGCAGCTGTGAGAGTGTCTACAGAGTGCTGTAACAGCTAAAACACTCCATGTGTGCACGTTTATGACACACTTCATTGGCTGGAAATCAAAGATCCCAAACTCTTCATCATAGACATCCTCTAAATCAGGGTCTCAGCCACAAACCTAACCTTTTTTATCAGCAGCTGTCATATGCTAGAAGGAGGGACCCACCAGTATTTGCACTGGATTCTCGTAAATTTAGTCACCAAGCTGCTCATCAGATCAATGAACAGACACGCTGGAGGGCAAACTTACTGTGGTGTCAATGACCTTAGACTAACTATTGCAGGAATTCAAAACAAGCTCTTATACAAATTTACTCCTAAGCAATGGTAAAAAACTGGTAATTCAGTGCTGAAAACAAGTCTTTCATTACACTGCATTTTACGACTAACTGTGCATTAACTCAGAAGCATCAAAAAAGCCAAACAGTAAACTGCTAGAGATCGCTGACGTCCCTCTGAGTGTTGGATCCAACTGTTTCTATGTACAAAATGAAGAATGCTTAAATTTCACTGTAATTTAATTCCTCAGAAATTATATAAACCAGAGGTGGCTAATCATAGGTTTCACCCTCACCGCTATTATCTCCCCACCCACAGTGGAGACAGTAACTCAGCTCAGCACTAGTGAAAATCAACAGCAAGTAAAATCTTTCCATATGGAGGCAATGAAATAAAACGATATGAACTGGAAGCTGGTGTGAAGACACTATGAAGGATTCTCTGCAATATTAATCAGGTAAAAATACTACGCTTGTAAAAAATCGATTTTTATTTATAATTGCTTAAGTTTAGGGTGGTGAAAGCCGGGAAAAGTGGGGTGTCTGATTCTTGTTTGCCCTTTCATTTTGCCCTGTTAAAGGTGTAAGTAAATCGCTCACTGCTCAATCAAAGCACATATTATGTATCTACCAGGGAAAAAGTTGCCTGCAGGGGACAGTTTGGGACACAACCTATCAGTTACTGTGATCTCTATCTTTCATGATCATCCCTCTGGGGGAGAACCGGTTTAAAGACGTCTGCAACCTGCCTGGATGTGTAGTTTTTCTCTAGGATTCAATTTTACACTTTATTATTTCCTGTCAGTGCTGACATTTACCTTGACTGTTAATGAACTTGAGCAAAGAAATAAAGAGCCATTTGATTGTACTTTTAAAATGAAACAAGCTGATAAATTTTGCTTTTAATAAGGAGACAGAAACATAGATAGGCCCTCAGCAAAACCGTTACAGTAATGTGCATCTATTTTGATAGTCAAGGAGTTATCGCAGTCACTTTCTGGTAAGAATAACAAACATTTTCTGACTCTAGATTGTGAGGATTTAATGTTTTTCTTGTGAAATACAATAGTGAAGTGAATCTCTCTGAGGTTTTAACTACTGGGTGGATTCAATTAAAAGACACCTCCATGGGCTGTGGAAAACTCTAACGTGCATGTTTTCACTATCTACTGACAACTTTATAGACTAAATAACATCAATAATTGAAAAAAACATGACTTAAACTAATTTAAACGTATATTCTGGCTTTGACCTGTAAATGAAATCATGCATGATTAAAAAACAAAACAAAACAAAAACAATCCCCCTTGTTGAGTGTACATCAGTCTGTATTTCTACAGTTTGCATGATTCAAATTAACCTCAAAAGTTGACAAAACCCAGATTTTACACAGGTTTTCCACAATCTGAACATCTGCTATTTCTTTCTAAAGGTAAACCATCCCAACACACTTTGGGGGCTGAGACGGGGGGTTGTCATATTCCGGTAGAGCCCCCAAACTGCCTCAGCCATCTCCGATAACATGTTTTGGCAGGCTGTGATGTGATAAATCATTTCACCTGACCCCACATGAAACATTAAATGATCTGCTAAAGGCTTCATCAAAGTCTATTATGATTTATTAAACCATTTCCTTTCACCCAACTGGTCAGAAGAAATGATTTACCAACCTTAACACTGGCATCCTTATTCTAACATTCTTACTACATCTGTTTCCATTCAGCTTGTTGCACTGTAATTGTGCTTATATGAACATGTATGAACTATTCTGATCCTTAAACACAGTGTGCCGAATTTCATAAAGGACCCTTACGATGTTAAAAAAGTAGCAAGCTAAGCTCCACGAGGCTTGTATGTTTGGCGATAAGCCAGGTAAAGTAAAATTACAGGATTTTTGAATGGAACAACGTTCCTCCCACACAGGAGGAGAGTAGTAGTTTTGATTTAAAAAGTGGGCATGACTTAGGTCCACTACAACTCTCAAGGCAGTGGAGGGACACCGCGTTTACACACGGTTTTGAGCGCAATATTTCAGCAGTTTTCAGTGAACACTTTCCATAATGTTAAAAAAGAGCAGAGTCAAACTCTTCTTTCCTTTTTTTTTCAGTTCTGCCTACTTCTGGGAAGCTGTGTGACATCTGAGCGGCCATGTTGCAGAAAAGTTTAACTCCCTGTTCACCTTGTTCTCCCGAATGAATGCGCTCTTCAGACCTCTCAGTGCCGAGCTCTTGTCAATTTTTTTTACAATAAAATTCACGTCTGAGGCGACTAAAATGCGAACTTACAGCCAGGCTAGCACACTATAACCCTCCAACATGCTATTTGAGACGAGCTCCACTCACCGGGACTATTTTCGGCAGGTATTCGTGGCCAAATACCAACATCAACACTGCAACGTGTGGCACTGACTTCAGCTCTTCTTTCCTCTTTCTTCTCGTCCTCTTTTTCGCCGTTGTTTTTGAGGCGTCCTCTCCGGTTTAAACACTATCCTCTCCACGGTCCCGTTATTTATTTCCGTACAGAGCCATGTTCCACCGCCTCCACACCACCGCCGCCGCCGCCGCCGCTGCTGCACCGGTTGCTGCTCAGATGAAGTGTTTTTGAAAGAAAGTCACTCCTCTCGGTCCGTCCTGCCTCCTCCTCCCTCTGACACGCCGCTGACACCTAATAGCACACGTTCAGCCTGGTTGTACAGCAAATAACCCCGTTTACACACCACAAAAGATGTCGTTTGCTTCCTAAAGAAAAAGAAAATGAGCTAATAGGTTTACAACTATGAGCTGGTAGGAGGCCAAATGTTTGTTGTTGCCCCCCCCCCTTGAAAGTGCACCTTCATTATCTCCACTGGCCCGAGCTAAAAGTGTACACTTTATTACTTGATTAGTTGACAGAAAAGTAACTAAGTCAGTAATTGTGTAATCAAATATGCAAGTTTACACCCACGTTGCCATGCCTGGGTAGAAAGAGCCAATGCTGCCAGTGGAAAGTGGCCAAAGCCTACGCAAAAGTCATTTTAACTTTTACTAACCAGGCTGATAGGTATTGCAGATATCTGTTATGAAATTCTGCCTTGTCAAAAACAAAAAAAAGTCAGGTATCCACAACGTCATTCGTCCAGGACAAACGGGGTGGGGGTTTCTTATAACTGATGTGCTCAATTCAGCTGCAGATATCCTCATTGGGAAGTTTCAGATATCTACAGCAGGAGTTATCTGGTCATAATTCTAGTTCTTGATGTCTTTATTTCAGTTGTTAGTGCCGTCACCTCACAGCTGGAAGAGCCCTGGTTTGCGTGGACGCCTGGGACCAGGGGTCTCGAACTCCGGTCCTCGAGGGCCGCAATCCTGCAAGTTTTAGATGTTTCCTTCTTCCAACACACCTGATTCAAATGATCAGCTCAGCATCAAGCTTTGCAGAAGCCTGATAACGATCCTGATCATTTGAATCAGGTGTGCTGGAAGAGGGAAACATCTAAAGCTTGCAGGACTGTGGCCCTCGAGGACCGGAGTTCGAGACCCCTGCCTGGGACCTTCCTGTGTGGAGTTTGCATGTTCTCCCCGTGCAGCGTGGGTTCTCTCCGGGTTCTCCCGCTTCCTCCCACACAGTCCAAAGACATGCTGAGGTTAATTGGTGATTCTAAATTGTCCTTTGGTGTGAATGTGAGTGTGTGTTTTTGTCTCTTTGTGTAGTCCTGTGATGGACTGGCGACCTGTCCAGGATGTCTCCTGCCTTCACCCTAAGTCAGCTGAGATAGGCTCCAGCCCTCCATGACCCTAGTGAGGATTTAGCAGTGTATAGATAATGGATGGATAGATGTCTTTAATTCCCCTCAACCCAACATATCTACATTGTCCTTTGTAGATCCTTACATTAAATTTGAACAGCTCAAACTGATGTTGTAGATATCTGGAGAGCCCTCTCAGCCTAGTCAGAATGTAATTACAGATTTAATTACCTTGATTTAGAGTTTTGACGTTACAGATATCTGAAGAAACTCCAGCATGTTGAACACAGAGGCGGTTTGCTTTTCAAGCGTATTGTAGCACTGCCATCGTAACCGCAGCTGTTTTACTGACACGTCAGAGCAGCCTGAGGCCGAAGTTCTCCTGAATTTCGACCACAAGTCTCCGATGAACGAAGCTCTTGTTTTCCGTAAACTGCTTCTTGCTGAGCTCTTTGTGTTCTGCAGCATTTTCTACCAATCCTATTCACCACAGCTGCCGCCATTACTTCCGCCATCACAGTTCTAATGTTTTGCTGAACCAAATCCATGGGAAGCCTCATATGAGCAGTGTCATACACCACAATCCAGATTAGTCACATCGATATTTAAGATGCAACTCTGACTAGTCCATAAATGGCTGTTTTGACTTTTCAGAAAGACATTGTAGATGTCTTGAATAAAAAATCTGACTTCTCTGACATTGTTCATGTCTTTCATTTTAATTGCACATATCATTTTTTTTATCATTACAAATATAGATAGAAATAGTAAAACTCAGCCATGAAAACCTGTTTGAAACCTGTCATTTGACTTTTCAAACAGGTTTTGTGCTTATTTGTGCATTTGTGGCATCATTGCGTCACATTTGCATCAGCCTCGTGTCAGTCCTTGGACTTCAGCATAGCTGGATTCCTAATAAAGCTGTTCTCATTTTCATGTTTTTCTGTTGTCAGACAACAGAGTTAGTATGAAACAATTACTAAAACACAACCCATTAAGACGAAAAGTTAACCAGCAGTCACTTCCAAGCCATTTCTAAGCTGTTGCACTGCACCACTAAACTGTAGATTTTATAACCACAGCCTCATCTCACAAAATCACTATCCACATTAACTAAAGACAGCGGATAAGCTGTGATTTTGGCTTTAACTTTAAATGATCAGTCAGAGAGAAACTTAAAGGAACAGAATGTCAAATTTATGACTTTCACATAGCACAACTGGGTCCTTGGTGTTCAGTTCATTCACCTCTGTCAGCTGCAATGCGGTCAACAGGTTGCTTGGAGTTTTTATGAAAAACAGCCGGTCGTTGCACCTAAAAAGCAACTAAATCAAGTAACAAAGTTTCTAAGTTGGCAGCAGTGAAGAGAGCCACAAGCGACTCAGACTTGCTGCCAGTTTGTCCCATTGGTCACTTGTAGGACTGCAACTGAAAAACGCTGCAGCCTGAAAAATGTTTTCCCACAGACCATCATTAAAAGATGTTAACACAACAAACAAGGTTGTTTTTTGCATCTTCTATTTTAACATTTTAATATGCAGAAATTTCATAAATGTAAAACTTTTACTCTAAAGGACACAATAATTTACAAAATGAACATCATGCTATACAGAAGGGGACATAAAAGTAGCAACTGAGCTCATGAGGAAAATGTTTATTGAGGTAGCAGATCAAGTGAGAAGTAGCATCATTTTCTCATAGGCTTCTGTACAGTCACACTTCATTTGCAACCAGAGGAGTCGCCCCCTGTGGGCTGTAGGAAATAATGCAGGTTAACAACACTTCCACATTGGTTTCACTTGTTAGATGCAGAGACTGTCTAACTTCCATATACAGTCTATGATTCAGGAACAACTCCAATCTGTGATTCAGTTTTGGCAAAGTGGTCAAACTGTGTTACAGCAGCTCCTGTGTTCTTCACTTAAAGCATGCTGGCCAAAAAAGCATCCACAAGCATGAGTATGTTGGAGTAGTGTCAAAGCCACTCTGATTGTTTCCCATTTACAGAGCCAGGGCTATGTACAAACACTGCATTTTTTTCCCAGCAGACACATAAAATAGATAACTGGTGGAATCTTAGGAGACATTCATTGATTCTGACAAAAAGTTTATTGGATTACAACCACTTAGTCCACCTGTAAGTCAAATGTTTATTTGAGGTTCCTTCTCATAATCCGGTATCAACTCCTTCTTCATGTATCTCTATCATATATCATCTAAGGACAAAAATGTTCCCAGTGGTCACTTGTGGTTTTACAATGAAATAATCCCCTTGTGGCTCAAAAAGACAATCCTCCCATTGTAAAATATCCTGTTAAAAGTTTCCACTGTGCAACAGCAGGTCCTCAGCTGCAGTCATTCCTTTCACTAAAGCTGTGTATATTGTGAATATTTGTAGATTCCCAGTTTTCTCTGATAACAACTCAACACAGTTGGTCAGACAAAGCAGTAATTATAAAATGTTCACGCTTGTGTCACGGAAGAATGATGCTGAACTTAATTGCTGGTTGCAGTCTCCTGGGATGAAATAATACGACCTGGCCTCAGAGTTTCTGTGTGTTTATACACAGAACTAACGGAACACATTTTTCTAGCTGTAATGTTATTTCTGAAGTGTTAGAAATAGTTGCTTATAGTTTTCACCAAGAGAAACTGTAACATTTGTGTCACAATGTCAGTCAGTCTCTGTCTCTAACTTCCTCTCTGTGCTGTATTTGACAAACCTTTATTCTCCAGAGGTTGAGAAATTCACCAGCTCTGTGTGATTAAACTACATGTAAACATCACACACACACACACACACACACACACACACACACTCTCTCTCTCTCTCTCTCTCTCTCTCTCTCTCTCTCTCTCTCTCTCTCTTTCACTGATTGTTTGGCTAAAGTATCAGAAGTTAGCGCTCATATTGAGTTTTCATGATGTTAAGAGATGAGTTTAAGTGTATGCCTGACTCATGGAGCTGTCTCTGTACTAGAATTCCTGAAATGAGTGTCAACAACAGTGTGAGAAACTTACTCAACATATGATGGCGAAATCAACAATGTCTTAATATGTGACAGAGGAAAAGCCTTTTCAGGAAATTGAGAAATAAAACATGCAACTCACTGAAATAGTGTACAGAGTGTACACAGTGTTGGCATGACAGGAAATGTTAATCGAAGTCAGAACAAATGTGACTAAAACAGCTTCCTCTTGAATCTAACTGTGTCCGGATATGTTTAGAACATAAATGAACTTCACATCTAATTTCATCATTTGCAAAAGAACAGAATTACTGATCATAGAGCCCCCTGTAAAATACTGTACCTGAAAAACATTTCCACAAAAATGACATTAATGTGTGCATAATGTAGCAGCTAAAGTTTTAACTTAGGTTAATGTTTATAATAATTAAGAATATTTGAAGAGTTACAAATTGAACGATAATCCAATACACAATCAATCAATTCAAAGGAAAGATTTTTATTTGTTTCATGTCATAGCATGTTAACTGATTAGCTGTTGTGTGTGTTTTATTTGTTTGTTTCCATAAAATACATGCATATATTTTTATACAGTAAATACGTGCTTCTACCATAAGCTGAAAGGAAATGACAGTTGACTGGATTGATTTATACATTTAAATGCCAGCTATCAAGATGTATTTAGATTTGCAAAGCTACACTCTTATTTACATGGAGATGTCTCTAAAACATTGTTCATCATTGAATCTCTGCACTAAAGTGCATGTCTTTGATTAAAACCTTTTAACAGGTAAAACAATAGAAATCTGGCAACAGCAGATTTTTGAAAACAGCCAATTGTGCAATGGCAAAGGTACTTCCCTCCCTCATGTAAATCTGGACTTAAAAGGGAAATCCCGTTCAGTTCCATGTTTATGCTGCGGGGTCAATGTAACAGTGACGCAAATGACACAAACAGTTCCAGATAAATACGCTGCGGCAGAATCCTCTGCAGAGTTTTACTTTGCCGAGACGAGATCGTTATTTTATCACAGAACAGAAGATTTCTTGGATTTCTTTAAACGGTGTGAGGATGTGGACGGTAGGCCTTCAGGTGGTGGCCCTCGGTGTTCTCCTACAGGTATGTAAACATAATTTGACAAGACATTGTGTTTATTTGAATCAGATAAAAACTATGTATAAGCGTGCTCTAAATGTGTAGGGTGCACATTATTGGCACTGTCAGTCCCATGCATTACTTATGTGTTAGAGGCAACTTCTAATTTTAAGTAGGGTTGGTGCTATTTTTCTTTAATAAATTAAATGTACATGTATTTTATATTCATTTTTTTCCTCCTCTCAGTCAGTTGTGGCAAAATTTGAATGACAAAGACATAGAATGGTAACGATACAATAAAGAGGAAATGAATATCAGAGTAAATTGATATTAAATAAGACAAAATAGACTAAATAATTGACAAAGCGCATAGTTTCAGTGTATTTACACTTCATAAACAAACTTCTCCAAGCATGAAAGATGAGACATTGAATGAATAAAGGACCCACAAAAACAAAAATGTTTTTGACTTGTCTGCAAGCACATTTGTGTGACTTCCTTATTTAGTTTACGATTTCTCATCTGAGTGGTTGTAAATTTTTTTATCAATTTATGGCTAAGTATCTATTTTCACATTCCAGAAACCAAATAATTCAAACATTGGTTTTAAATGTGTCACAGCATGAGAAACCAGGCACAGTTTAGAGTCTGTTTTAAGGAGGAGGTAAATTGCTACATTTAATTCGAGAACTTTTTGCTTAACAGAGATGAAAGCAAAGCAAAACAGATTATGATACACACCAGGCAAACACACAGAAATAACTCCCTTTTGTTGTGGGCGGTTTTGGATCAGGTGGAAGAGTGGGTTTACCACTGATCGCAAGTTTGGTTGTTCAATCCGACCCCTCCTTGGGCAAGAAACTGAACCTTAAGTTGCTTCCAGTGGCAGGCAGGAGCCCTGCATGGCACCATTGGTGTGTGAGTGGGAAACATTGTAAAGCGCTAAAACACTAAGGTGGAAGGGTGCTATGTAAGTGCAGACCATTTAGACCATTTACTGACAGTTAGGATTCAGTTAACTTTTAACTAACTATAGCCTGACTTGAAAATGAACAAATCCAGTCTTATAGTTGAATGTTACATTTCCACTTTCAGGTGTTAAGCTGTTCATCTTGCCGCATAATGGGCTCAGTAGCCAACTGTGGTCTTAAGAACCTCCGCTGGGTTCCTCCTCTCCCTCCTCACATCACCCACCTGTACCTGCAGATGAACCACATCAATGAGATCAATGCTACGTCCCTGTCAGGCCTGGAGGAGCTGCAGGAGCTGGACCTTGGACAACAGCGTGTGCCGCTAGTGATTAGGAATAACGCCTTCAGCAGACAGAAACATCTGAGGAGGCTGGTGCTTGGCTTCAACGTTGGACTTCAGCTAGAGCTGCAGGCCTTTGAGGGACTGTCCAGTTTGCAGAATCTCCAAATGGATTACTGCTCGCTTACAGAGTCTATACTGAAGGACAACTATCTAGAGCCACTTTCATCCTTACAAACTCTTGACCTGTTTGGTAACAAGATAAAAAGACTCCAACCATCACTCTTCTTTGCAAACATGACTCATTTGAAAGAACTGAATCTTATGCTGAACCAAATTGACCAAATTTGCGAGTCAGATCTTGTCGGTTTCCAGGGAAAGCACTTTACAGTCCTGAACTTGAACTCCATCAACCTTAAAGCGATGTCTAGTGACAGCTTTGACTGGCAGAAATGTGGGAATCCTTTCAGAGGCATGTCCTTTCAGACACTAGACTTGTCCAACAGCAGGCTCAGTGTGGGTCAATTAAAGCAGCTTTTCAGAGCCATTGAGGGGACAAAGATCTCCCATCTCAAACTCTCAGGGCACATAGGCAAAGGATTTTCATTCAGTAATCTCCCTGATCCAGATCGCAGCACATTTGAGGGCTTGAGGAACAGTTCAGTCCGCTCATTGGATCTGTCTCGAAACAGGATATTTGCACTGGAACCCGGGGTTTTTAGTCCGCTGAAAGAAGTCACAATCATTGACGTTTCAAAAAACAGAGTGAATCAGATACACAGAAATGCCTTTGAAGGTCTCCAGGGTCATTTAAAACTGCTCAACTTGTCACACAACCTGCTTGGGGAAGTCTATTCCCACACATTTGCTTCTCTGACAAACCTGCTCGTGTTAGACTTGTCTTACAATCACATTGGTGCACTGGGTTATGGCTCATTTAGTGGACTGCCCAACCTGAAAGTATTATTTCTGACAGGAAACTCTGTGCAGGATTTAGGCTTCCCTGCATCTCTACCGAGTTTGGATTATCTCCTGCTGAATGATAATAAGTTGACGTCCTCATCAGTGTTCAGTGTCAGTCGGTTTGCCAGTAACGTCATGCATTTGAACATTCAGGACAACAGGTTAACTGACCTGGGGGGTGTTTACACCTTTATGACTCAGCTCAGACGCCTCCAGCATCTCTTCCATGGGGGAAACACAATTAGGTGGTGCCCGCTCAGTAGTCAAGTTGGTCAAAATGATATGCAAGTTCTTGATCTTCACAGCAACTCCCTGCAGTGCATTTGGGCTCAGGGAAAATGCCTTAATTTATTTGACAATCTTGGGCATCTGATCAGTCTCAGATTGAGCTTGAACGGACTGCAGTCTCTTCCTCAAGGCATTTTCAAGGGTCTCACCTCACTAAGGGAGATGGATCTCTCATCCAACGCCCTGACGTATCTCCAGCCTGATGTATTACCCAAAAGTCTGAAATCCCTCGACCTTTCCAACAATTTCATAGCATCCCCTGACCCTGCTGCCTTCCATTCCCTCAGTCACCTTGACCTGACAATGAACCGGTTCCACTGCAACAGTTACCTGACAAGTTTCCTGACTTGGTTGAACAATACTAACGTAACGCTCCTGAGTCCTGCTGAGCAGCTCAGATGTGAATTTCCTTTTAATTTCTACAATGTTTCTCTGTCAGATTATTCTGCTCAGATTTCGCAGCAATGAAAGCTACTAAAAGTGAACAAATATGTGAGTTATTTTAGAATAATACCTAAAATACAATGTAGAAACAACCAGTAGTGTTCTGGTGGTGTGTATGGTTGATTAAAGTAATGTGGTCACATTTTATCCTGCATGACCTGAATTTGTACAAAGTGCCTGATTATGATACTGAGGAAAATCAAATATGTTTTATACTTTTTCAGAATTAAAATCCTGTTTTGAAATTTGCTTTTCTCATTATCCAGTGATTCCTTAGAGTGGGGCTTAAACAGAAATAAAAGTGTAAATTCTCCATGGTGACCTTATATGTTTTTACAAATTACACTATTATGATACCTATGGTTAATTTTGACTTTAGTCACATACGTTTCTTTTACATTATAAAGCTCATGGGTTAAAATAGATTTTAAAAAATATATATCTTGTTAATGTTACCATATAATATTTTCTATATGACACATTATAAGTAAAAAGAAGCAGTCAGCACCATGGTTGAGCATTTGTACCTTGAAACTGTAATCCACCAACAACAGTTTCAGAAACACAAGTTTTCTGTATGACATACTTAAGGAACCAGTACTGTTACGTTGAGAAGTGAAGCTTTCTGTGTCATTATTTGTCTTCAGAACTGGTTTCTGGTTTGAACACATAGAAATTTCTCTAATACTATAATAGTACAACTTACAGTACCATCATGTACAGTGAAGTACTTTAATATTGTTTGAGCAGAGCTGTAGGTGAGCTGGTGTGCCCGAGCTGCAGCAAGTGGGGAGGGGTGGGTGGAGAGAGACACTTCATGGATCTGTGCATTCTAAAATAAGCAACAGTTTAAAGTTACATCTAAGCCATGTTAATCCATAAAGGCGTTCTTGTTGTGATAAAATATTCTAAAAATGTAACTTTGGCTCACACAGATGAGTTTTTAGGGGTTTAATCAGTGACTGAAGAGGGACTTTATTGAAAAATATCATACACCTAGTAAGCAAAATTACCCTTTTCACACTCTTTTACAGGTAAGAGTGATTGCACAAGTACGAGATTTAGTTTGTATGTGATTTAAAATAAAACAAAATAAATCAAAATCCCAGCAATACTCAGTGAGCAACCACACTAAGATTTTATGTGAATGCAGAGATGACCTTCTGTTGATGAGAAATTTGTATCATTCCAATCTCAGTAATGTTCCGCTGAGTGTGCCTGTAAGTGCACAGTATCTCCAGCAGGTGGAGCTCCAAAACAACCTAATGGTTCCTGGGTATGTACTTCTTTAATCCTGCAGCATGCTGGGAGAGGCAACCCTAAAGTCTCCCTCTGATCATTGATTATAGCCCCAAAAACTCATTTCCATGTGTCAAAATTGCACATGTAGAGGTAGAAGTCCCTGGCAGTCTTCTACCCATCACACCACCATTCACTGCAGCTCAAATTCACCAGCTCACCTCACTGTGAAACTACTCTGCTCAACACAATGGCAAGTTTTAATACTGGAATAACTTCATGTTCAAATCAGAAGCTGATGCTGACAAAGAATAATTACACAGAAAACTCCATCCTGCTAGATGACAGTAGGTTTGTTACGTATTAAAGCCTGGAGGTCTAAATTTGTGTTTTTCAAACTGTCATCAGCCCACTGCAGTCTTAAAGTGGAAATGATCAGCCATGTCGACTGCTTTTTTTGACCCATGAGATGTTTTGTAGTGTATAAGAACACCATATGGACATGTTAACGAAGTAAAAATAAATAAACTTTTTCACCAAAGAGGGCCTCTAGACTAGAAACAAATACAAACAGGAAATGAATGGAGGAATGCTCTCTAGCTGACCTATAGGGCTACTTATACTCTTTCAAAACCTGCCACAAAGTTAAGAGTTATTTCCTAGTTTTATTCAGAACAGTGGTTCCAAACATAGGGGTCAGGACAAATCAGACAATAAAAAGGATAGAAACACAAGTATTAATTTGCACAATGTTATATTTTTTCTTTTATTCAACAAGGACCCTGCACAAAAATCAGCTAAAAAGAGATGATTTAGCTGTTAGCTATTCTCTCTCTGCATAGTCTCACACAGAAAAAACATTTGTAGTTCAAGCTTACATGCATTACACACACTTCCAAGCATGTATTAACTGTCTGCTTCATTTCCTTTGTCAAACTGTATGCTTTGGATTATTCAGGCCTTCAAGCATCAATCAAATTAAACAGTCGAAGAGGAAATGTGTAAACTGAGTGGTCACAAGAGACATTGCTTCATCTTATGGGCCAGGTGCCAAAACGGCTGGGACCACTGATCTAGAAGGTAGTGTTACATGTTACATGACGTTTAGGACTCATCTCTTTAACATAATGAGTTTGTGCTGCTGCACTAGCAGACATGCAATCATCCATAATTTAGCCTGTAGAGACTCCAATAAATTTACAGAAAAAGTGGTGCATCTGGTGCTACAACTGTTTGAAGGTGCATAGCAGACAATAATGTTTTTACTCCCTGTGGCCTAATTCGATTTCTTCTGCCCCAATAAATGGCCGACTGAGTTAATATTTAACTTGTGCAATAGAGGGGAAAAAGAGGGCAAACTTAAACTACTTAAGGCCATCAAATGTAAACAGACTGGTTATTAGCCTATGCTAAATATTGCTCATAATTCAATTACCTCTCTTAACCACAACAGCCACACTGTGTTTGCACAACTGGAGGTAACAAGTGTAATGACATTGGTAAATCATTTATATATTCAAAGCTTTGGTGCTACAGTCAGTTTGCACATCTGTCCAGTCAGTAAAGGTAATCTAAGACTGAAAGCAGTCATTATAAAGGAATATATAGCTCAATAAAGAGCCCAAGTATTTCTTCTGCTCTTTCAGGTGTTTCACTTTCAGTAGAGATCCTTTATTTTATCACTAAAATGTATCAATATGCCCAAAAACTGCGTCGTAAGGCAGCTGTTTTTCTCCTTGTCTCACAGCAGAGGGCAGCCTCAGCCCAGGCAGTACCCACTGACCTCCAAGCTGCCTCTCAGCACGGCCTGGCTCGCTGTAAAACAACACCAACCAGTCTTTTCCCTGCTGGGACAAGTGTGCAGCAATGCAGCATTCGGCTGAATAATGTCTGATCAGTTAGACATAAACAGTGAACCTGTTAGCAGCTGGACAACAAGACAAATCCATGATTTATAACAATCCCTGGGAGAGATTGACTCTGCTGGCTGATTAGATAAACTGGGTAAATAGGTCTGATAAGTGCTGAGGCGAGATAAGTAGGTAAAGAGGTCAACAATAACAATGTTTTAGTTCACTGCTGTTGGTCAATAACAACATACTAACCAACCCTAGTTTGATATGCAGGCCAGGATTCATTATGTAAACACAGAATCAGGGAAATGTCAGGAGAACTCAGTCTCTCTGTTCTGGGCTGTAATTCGTTATCATCCAGTTGTCAGTGAAGGAATGGTTGAATCAGATGTGTCCCTACTGTCCTAATGAAGCAGCTCTCTGCTCATAAATTATTAAACGTCGACAGGCGGGAGATGATGAGGAGACCTCTGTTATCCCTGTAAGTCAACTGCTGATAAGACTCAGATTGCATGAGTGAATTTACAGACCTGTGTGTGTGTGTGTGTGTGTGTGTGTGTGTGTGTGTGTGTGTGTGTGTGTGTGTGTCACCAATGAGTCATCACCAGACCTGATTATCCGACATGTGTGTGCATGAACGTTGCTCATAAATCAAAACCTTGAGCGTGTGTATCCATAAATAAATGAATAAATAAATAAATAAATAAACATCACCCTGACTTCTACTTGATTCACTGATAATATGTCAGCTGGCAAAGACACCACGTGATTGAGAATATCTGGTGTTTGCATCCCCCCCCCTCCCAGCAGAGAAACCCACAGGACAGAGAGATGAATGGACTAAAAGCAACATATAAATTCTTATAACAAATTCACTGGGATGATTTTATTTTTCTACAAATAATGATGTAAGCCAGAATAACTTCAAATGTACAGAAGAAAAACAAAACAAAAAAACACAACATCTACGGCTTTGAACCACATTTACAGTCTGATGTATAAAAGAGTGTATGTACCGCATGTGGAGGCTTGCAAAGATCATTTATCATTTATTATAGTTTCAAAATTAATGGATAACTATTTTTTATACATTTAAATTTAACTCAACATTTAAGTCATTTATGAAGCCAGATATGTAATGTGAGGATATGCAGTGCTCCATACCATAACAGAACAATTATTGGCAGCTCATTACCCAAACCTTGTCCTCTATTTCCTTATTTATTCCATCTCCGTTTGCACTGTTTGAAAATTTGATTAATTTATTTTGCTTATTGTTTTTATCCCTTTTTCTCTCTCCCCCTATATATATATACATATAAATATATACTCGTATATATATTTATTTCCTGTTTGTTTATCCTTATTTTTATTTATTTCTTAACATTGTTTCGGTGTGGAACAGTATGCAAGACATTTCACTGTGCGTTATACCATGTATGACTGTGTTTGTGATAAATAAAGACTTTGAACCTTGAACTAAGTAGAAAATGGGAGGGATTTATTTATTTATTTATTTTTGTATTTTAGCGAGTGACTGTATAGTAAAAAAAATAAAAAATTAAAAAATCTTCACAGACTGTATTTTGTTCAAAAAAAGAAAATGTTTTTTTTTTTAAAGTAAATATTACACCTAAACTGATAAAAAAGTGTATTTTTCTGTCAGTTGCCAATGTTCCTAAATGGTATTAACTCTTGAAAAAAAAAAAATAATAAAATGAAATAAAATAAAATAAAATATATTTTTTATATTACAATTATTCCAAGTTCAATTTTTTTTTAAAAGTAAATTTTATTTTCATTTTTAATAAATTTCTTTTGGTTTAGCAGATAAATACAGTCTGTTCTTCAGTTTCCACCTTGGTGGAGAACTGGTCTGGTTTAAACTTAGCCAATAGGTTTGAATAAGTAAAGGCTTTTTTTTTTCATACATCTCTGGTCCTTGATCTGCCTCAAAGTGCCTGAAGAACATTTTCTTTTCTTTGCTGTGATCCTGCTCTTCATGAGCACCTTTAGGCTACCTGGATTCAGTGTAACACAGAGAGCACTGTGACTTTTCTTTTTAATATCATTACATTGTTTGATCAAAATACGTTGATTCCAATGTAAGATGAACATATTTTGGAGCCAAAGCATCACACCATACTGCTTTTTGTA